TATGACTACCAAATGGTCCTGGAAATGAAAAAAAAAATTCAAAACCTTCGACTGATAGCAATGACAGTGACAAAATGAAAGAACAACAGCGAGAAGCAAATGGGGCACAAAGAAGAAAACTGAAACAGGGAAACGAAGCTTGACGACTGAGGAGATTCTCAGGCAGCTGAGCATACCTTTGAAAGGATTGAAGCCCGTACCCATACCGGGGCGTGAAGTATCAAAGTTAGTCTGCAGCTTTTGTTGCTTTTTGATGGTTGAGGGGAAGTTAAATAGATACTAGATGGGAGAAATCTGTTAGCGCATCTTCTAAAGTGAGTTGAATTCACCAATGACCAACAGTAATAGTGGATCAATCATCATATTCATTCAAGGCAAAAAAACGAGATGGCGGATGGGGAGATTTTCAGGGCAACGATTGGGTTTTGATTCCCTTGTACCTTGAAGAGGACTTCCAAGTATCATGCTTGACTCTGACTTGGAGCATGTCCAAACTCAGTGTGAGCTGGTTTAGACCCCAGGCACACCGTACCTCGTTCCGAGTCGTTTTCTTTTATTACATAAGGATCAAACACTGGTTGACTAGAGCCTATGAAGCCACCGAGGGTATTTGCTGGAACCTTGGCCAGCACCAACGTCACTCTCGCAGTAGTTGCATCCGTGGAGAGCGACAAGTATATTGAACGTGACATATGTAGGACGAGGGAGAGATATAACGGAAAGTATTTCAGACCCTTTTCGAAACATGTTGAGTTGCTCCGGTCGGAAGGGCCACTGGAAAGCGTTAGCATGAGGTCATCGTGATGCCATACATGGTCAGCGAAAGTTGCAGTGGGGTGAATACCACCCTTTTATTACTTCTGTTTTGCTAACCCTTTTCCGTGTTTTCTGCAGACATGCTGAGTTGTATGTCCATTAAGTTCCAGGTGAGACCTAGAAGAAGGTAGGACCTGCGAGGATATTAAAGTCAGCAACCTGTAATGGGAGCGCAGATATAAATATTGGCAGAAAGCACGACAGATGAGGCAGGAAAAGGAGCCTGAGGATAAAGCAGATGGTTCGAAAAGCGGACGACGCGTACCTAAGTCAATTGGAATGAGTCAAGTGTCCTGTGGAAGACTAGATAGTCATCTTGATACTAAGTGTGGTAAATGGTAATTGCTTTGATGTAGTTACTGAGATCGAGTCTCGATCTCTGCAGCCCAGCTGGTGCGACAAACAAGCTTTTAACAAAAACTTGCAGCCAAAGCCAACAACGCTGATTAGATCGACTCAGTTAATTTCGAGAAGAATCAGAGGAGAAGATGCTTGACGGAACTCAGTGTTTTGTGGTTTTCTAAGGGTTATCACGCCCATTTTCGAGTTTTTCTTGTCTTCTGTTGTTTTAGTTGTTGGTGTTTGGGGAAAAGCGACGACGAAATAGGCATTTTTGCGAAGAAAAAAAAATAGCAGGAAGTGGCTCGAATCTAAAATAGTAGCCTAGTTGAAGTCTACAGGGGTCCTCGATCTATTCTACGCCTCTTTGAGGGAAAGACAGGCTGGAAGCTAGGCTTCGGGCATATTCCCGGCCCGATTATAGCCCTCCATAACAGGCATGTTGAGGTATTTCAGTTCTAATAACCATCGTTGGGATATTTGCAAGTGCATTACACCACTAGGTATTTTACAAGGTAGTAAGTATACTTGGTATTCAACTTGATGGAGAGCTATGATTCCATTCTGAAGCCGTATTCTTCCGTATTTGCTACAGCAAGAGGCTTTTGGAGCAGCAGCTGGCTCTTTCAAGCTTCTCGGCTACTTATTGACTCTAGAAACTGAATTGAGTCAACTGTAGATGGTAGAAGAAAGTTTCCCACGAGAGTGAATGTAACTCTCAACCAAATCCTGATCAGGTCATTCAGTCCTGGCGTGCAAAGTGACTTTGAATCGAGACTATTTAACTATTAACCTACTTGGAGCTTCTTGAAGCTAATTGATATTCAACGGGGTTAGTGCTAGTCTATTAGTTCTCTCAGCGTTCTTTAAACACTTACTATGATTTAGAATCTTAAGTTTTGCCGCTCCAGGGACAGTCGGAGACAGTTCTTTCCTGCATTTATCCAGATTCAATTGAGACTTGACCTCGAAATCCAAAGACTATTCAAAACTTGCAACTAAGACTACATTTGCAGTGAAAACAAGATTTAAATTTTATAACACATTCAAGAATTTTCACAAAAAAAGACATTAAGAAACATCATAGTTACAAATAAGCAATGAAGCCTTTAAAATATCTGTTTGAAAGTAGTATTGGCTATGGCAAGTCCAAGACAACTACCTCTTTCAATGACTAAAAGAACCTCCTTGCAAAAGCCATACTATTTGCTACTACTGGACTCAGAAGTTTACACAAAGATAGCAGAAGATGACAAATACAACAAAAGAAGAAGAAAACATCATGAAAGAAGATGCTCACGGTAGAAAATTAGAGCTTAAAGTGCCTATTTAACTTCCCCCTTTTCGCAACCATTCATTTTACTTCAGAAGAGGGTACCGGAAGAACGTGCAGGAGAACTACCAAGGAGAAATGTATCCCCAGGCTCACCTTCGCGCGTTTCTCCTCTACTCATAGCACTAGGTGCTCTCAGCAGACCTGAATTCGAAAACTGAATCTAATATTGAATCTGCAACAGAACATTACAATGTCACCATCACGTTACTTCAAATAACTGCGGGTTTCAGTCTCTAGACATGCATATTCCTTTCTGGTACGTTCCAACCGAATCTGCGCAGCAGCAACGGCTAACAACCTCACAGATCCTAAAGCCCTTACATAGCACCAAAATATCCTCATTATAGACACTACATCAACTACCTACCTCAAAAAGCTAAAAGCTAAACAATCACCCAAGCCCCCCATCGCTATCTACAGAGAACTAACATAAACACCAAAACTTTAGGCCACAACAGCATACAGGAAATTCCCATAGACTTCGCAATACGGAGCATCGGACTCGGCATACAGCCACTTGATATGTATATTTTGGGTAATGGCCATGCGCCAAGTGTGAATAAAGAAGAAGTAAAAAATGCAAGAGCAAAAGCACAAAAATCAAATTACTAGGTACTTCTTTAGACTACTTCTTCACACTACTTCTTCACACTATTGACTAAACAACCATACTCCCTACCCAACACCCATGCCCCCGACACCCCAAAAACACAACTCCAAAACTCCAATTAAACAAAATACTAAGTAAAGACATAATATCATGCACATTACAATTCCACTTGAGACGAAAAGAATTCTCATTCATTACTTCGTGCTGCCTGTGGCAACGCGGTGTGGTTTACATGAAAGATAACACGCTTTTCCTACCATTGATATATCATGATACATGAAATATCATTCCCAAGTGTCATAAAATACCCCTAGAAGACCTGATAAGACTGATTTGTGAAAAACTAATTATCACTCTCCATCACGTGGTCGCTTGAGACAAGGAGGCTGTCTAAACCCCTTTTACAAGTTGAAGTCTGTTGTACAATACCTGGGTATACTTCGGCACTAATTGAGATGCCTCCCAAATTTGAACAGACATGACCTATGAAGTATATCATGTCTACCAATTTCCTCTTCCCTTCTACCTCTGCCTCTTCCAAAGCCTCCCCACGATTACTATTGTCACCACCAGACCCCATCAAATTCTGATCAAAACCTCCACCACCAAATTGACCTCCAAATCCACCTGCCCCGCCCGCTGGATTTGAGCCCCCAAACATTGAGGGATCCATCTGGCTAGGATCCATCCCACTCGCCGCCATCATTTGTTGCATTTGTTGCATCATTTCTGGTGTCATTCCCTCCATTCCAGGCATTCCGCCTCCAGCTGGCATACCGGGCATTCCACCCATTGCCATCATCATATTCATATCCTCAAACATTTTCTTATTATTCTGTGCAATTTTATTGGGGTCGAATTCCGAGCGCAAAGATTCTTGTTTATTGGCGTAGAGAGCCCAGGTAAATTCGTCAAAACCGTAGTTGAAATAGTCGGATATGTCTGTGCCGGGTCTTCTCAAGGTTTATCATTTTCATTGAGGTCTGGAGAATTTGAGGTTAATTATATGTGTGATGGTGAGATTGAGAGAGGATAAATACCTTCATCAATGTTGATTTGTGTAATTGGTTTTCCCGCTGGCTCATACATGGGCTTCGCATTTACATCGATTTTCGAGATTGCCAAACCAGGTAACTCTGCACCAGATATTGCTTGAGTCTCGGAGCTTTTCTTTGGTTTCTCAGTTTTCACAGCGGGAGCTTTCGCATCTGCTTCAGTTTTGGATTTCGTATGACTTGGAAGATCACTTGGAAGATTATCGTAGTTTGCGCCTCTATTTTCACATTAATTCTGAGCTCTGGAGCTGGGCGCGAAACGTACTTGGGTTTTGAGGGTGGAGCGCCATCTTTCTTTTCTGTTATAATATCTATGTCCTATGTATGTATCAGCGACAGCTTTACAAAGCTTCAATGTAGCCATATCGTACCGAATCACTATCTTCTCCCTCATCTTCCTCCTCGCCTTCCTCTAAATCTTCCTCCTGCTGGTCGGATTTGACTTCATGCTGCGCAGTTTCTGCTGGATCGGCTTCATTTAATGAAATTGGCGCACTCTCCTCCGGCGCATAAAAATCATCATCTTCATCAATATCCATTTTGAGTATTTGGGGCTCTATTGAGAGTCCGTGTTGTAATTTCTGGATTGGTGGTTGCCGCAATAAGTATGATACTACTGTAACACAACAGCCTGGCCGCCTTAGTCTTAGTGAATATTAGACGCGTCCAGGCTTTAGTTTCAGGACAAGATGACCCTGAAAATCTATTGATGTTTTCCTTTTACTCGAAAATCATCCAAAGGTCGCGACAATAAAAATTATTTAAAATGGCTTTGACTAGATCTTTTTCTGGTCCAGGTGGATTAAGTATTAATACTAATTCTGCCAATTCTTTGTTGTAAGTTCATCCAATTTATTGCGCTCCGGGGATTTATTTATTTTGTCGTGTCAACCCATTGCCCAAGCTTTTTGTGGAGCAGAGAAAGCTATCAAAATAATTCCATTGTGAAAGATTGCAAAGAAAGAACATTGAAACGAAACAGATAAAGAAAGAGCGATTCTAACCTCAATTCAGTAGCGGATCAGGCGCGACCCAACCAGCATCAGGAGGAATGTTTGGAAGTACACAGGCTGCGAAGCCTTCAACAGGTCTTTTCGGCGCAACCACAACCACATCTGCTTCTCAAACTGGTGGATTATTTGGTTCAACAACGTCAGCGGCTCCTGCAACCAGTAGTTTATTTGGTTCGACTCCTGCAGCTGCGACTTCTGCGCCAGCAAGTGGAGGACTATTTGGATCTGCTCCCGCTCAACCTGCGACTAGTGGATTGTTCGGAAATACAAATACTTCTCAACCGGCTCCGACTGGTGGTGGATTATTTGGTTCAACGACTACCGCGACAACAGCTCCTACAGCCAGTGGATTGTTCGGATCTGCGACCACTAGCAATAACCAGACTCAAGGAGCTTCCGGTGGTGGATTGTTTGGTGGTGGGTTCGGGGGAACACAAGCAAATAATCAGACAGCTGGCGCAAGTACAGGTGGTGGACTTTTTGGTGGTACCGCTACGTCACAACCGGCGCAGAATGGAGGTGGATTATTTGGAAATCTAAACCAAGCAAACCCTGCAGCATCTGGAGGTCTCTTGTAAGCTCTCGTTGCGAAAAGAAATTATGATACGTCAACTAACCAGCTCAGTGGAGCAAGTCAACAAACCCAGCCGCAGTCACAGCAACCCTCCTCTCTTTTCGGCGCACCCGCTCAAAATCAACAACAAGGCCAAACAACCTACAACATGCTGGGTGGTAGTCGTCTTTTGGGTCAAACCCAACAACCTCAACTCGTTCCAGGCGTCCAAATTGATCTTAGTCAAATGCGCGGAACCACGAGATTCAATGATCTTAATGAGACCGTACAGAAACAAATCGAACATTTTGATAAAGTGATTCAAGAGCAAATCGGTATGAAAACGACTGCGAAGCCATTATGCCCCAGCATGGCAAGCTTCTCGAGCACATTCCCAACGACGTCGAATTTTGCCGAAGGAAATTACTCGGCATGGAAGACGCCATGGAACGCGACGCCGCAGACATCGATCAAGTCCGTCAATTAGTCAAAAAGGATGCCGACAATGCAACTCTAAGTTTCCGCGCAATTGACAATCTAAAATTACCTGCACCATATCAAACACCCGGCATCTGGGCCACAAAATCCACGAATAATCCCAATAGTGCAGTCAATGACGCTGAGGCTCAGGATTTGGTTTCATATTTTTCCTCTACGGCTGATGAATTAGATGCCACGCTCAAGAAATATCATAGCAATTTCTCAGAGATTGAAGCACATCTAAGGAGTTTAGAACAAAGCACAGCGCAACAAACACAAGCTCTACTTGCGCGCAGAAATGGAAGAGCTTATCAGCAGGAAAACCCGGTCCAGGAGTTGGGATTGGCGCTTGTTGAGTTTGAGCAAAGCATTTTACAGGTGGCAGGGAAGATTGGCGCAAGTAGGGAACGCATTCAAGCGTTGCAGCTGGGGAGTTTTACGGGACCTGGGGACAGAGACAGGAGGAATGAAGCGCCGACGGGGTTTGGAGATAGTGTTCATGGGGGAAGTGTAAGGGGGAGAGGCGGTGTTTATTGAGGAGTTGGTGTATATAGAGTGAACGGGCTGGGGCATCCGTTCTAACGGGGACTAGAAATTGATGTAGGTGGATGGATGGGTGGAGTTCAGGAGTTTGGGTTTCGAGTATATGTGCTCGTACTTCTACGTAGCATTCTTGTCGGTACTTTCACGATAAAAGCAAGCAAAGTATGCATTGATTGGAGATATTAAAAATGAAAACTAATGTTCTATCTTCGAATGCATTAACTGTGCCTTGACCTGTTGAGAACCATTTCGTAGCCCATTTTGAGTGGTGTGGCTGGTGAACAATCTTGAATTTCAGCCACACCTTGTTTTGGGTCAAAACAGCAGACGCCTTTTCCTAGCTAACCAAATCTGCTTCGCAGAAAAATGCCTGCCTGCACTGTTTAATGTTTTGACAGCCACGCAATACGGCATTTCACTTAATCTTCAATGCTCTATCAACAAAATGCATGTCAGCGAAAACTAAACTTACTCGCCGTGGGGCGTTCTAACGTCCCGTGATATGGCGATATCTATGAGGTGATCGACCACACAGTCAGAAGTCTGACCGCCAACTTTGGATTCAAGATTCACTGGAAACTTTATACTATTTCGTACTTCTTATCAGAATCGAAATCATCGGCACTGAAACCCATCACGCCTTAGATCCTCTCGATGGCGAGTCTCGTTGAATATTACTAAGTAAATTCTGGGGACCAAACCAAAACGTCAGCTCATACGTTTCATAATCAGGGATCTGGGCGCTTTGTGGAGGCTTGTTGCTCCAGTACAGTGGGATTTGTCAATGCATTATATCTTAGGGCGTCTTTGTTAAAGAATGACGACTTGAAAGAAAAGATATATTTGGAATGGTATCACCGGTACTTTATTCAAGAAATGATGCCGTTATCATATTCCCCACACATGTTTTGAGTCGATCTTTAGCCTTGGCTCCGCAACAAAAGTATTCCATGACCTTGTCCCTGGGAATGGAACTTGTTTAGAATGGCGGTGGGATGATTGATTTGGAGATTTCATGCAAATCCAGCCAAAAAATGTTCTCGCGAAGATGCAATTGTGAGCTCGAGTGAACTCTATTGTCAAGCTCCCGGTACGAGCCAGAGAACTATAGGTTTCCGCAGAATTAAACTTGTGAGTACAAGTTTAATAATAAATTATGGCGGATTGTATTACTGCTTTACTGTGTGTGCCTGGACTTCCGGATTAGAGGAAGCAAGCGTATGTGGGTGTGTCACGTCAACTGAAGTTTCAAGCTAACTCATTCCTTAATTTGTTGATTTTAGTGTTTGTAAACGCAAGATGGTGTGCTTGATAGGGTTGATGGTGCCATGTCATTCGGGATTAGCCTTATATAGGTAGATTTCCATGTAGACACAATTCCCCAAACCACGTTGAAACCATTCCCATTGTTACTACCGAGATCAGATACCAATCTTTCTGTGTGGATCAAAAACTTTCCTGGAATATTTCTACATCTTATCTCGTGTCCACGTAATGGCTCCCTCATTAGAAGTCGGGTTTGAACAAGCTCCAACTCAAGTCGGCCTACCGGCGTCCCTCCCATTCAAAGCTTTATCTAGCCCCACAAAATCCACACTGTCCTATACTCCAGGGCGCACTATAGTCGAGAAGCACGACACCTACGAACATGAAGATCTCCGACCTTCCTTTCCCGATAAAAAATGGCCAGCACTAGAAGAGCTTCCATATTCAGACAAAGGACTTCTGGGTTCTGACACATTCAAGGATTTACTGGCTACTGCAACTGAAGTATTTGACTACGTCCCCAAAATTGGAACGGAAGTGCATGGCGTTGATCTAGCCAATCTAACGGATGCTGCCAAAAATGATCTTGCTCGACTCATTTCAATTCGTGGCGTCGTTTTTTTTCGCAACCAAAAGAACTTTGGCATTGAAGCACAACGCAAGTTAGGTTCTTATTTCGGGACACTGCATAAACATGCTACAACTTCCGTCCCAAAACGTGGTGATTTAGATGATGTACATGTGGTATACACGGACGAGAATTCAAAAGATCAGAGAGCACTCTTTACACCTACTTTCCTCTGGCATTCAGACGTAACATACGAGATCCAACCACCATCATATACCTCGCTCAAGGTACTTACAGGCCCTCCTCGTGGTGGCGGCGGTGATACTTTGTGGTCTTCTCAATACGCGGCTTATGATGCGCTTTCTGCACCTATGCAAAAATATCTTGAATCCCTCACCGCACTCCACACATCCCATCTACAAGCCGAAGGATCACGAGCTTTAGGGAGACCAGTGAGGAGAGATCCAATCATCACAGAACATCCGCTCATCCGATCACATCCCGTCACAGGCTGGAAATCACTATTCTTCAACCCGGGATTCGTTACCAAAATCGTTGGTGTCCCAAAAGTTGAAAGTGATACTATCCTTGCATACCTGAATGAGGTTGTTTCGACAACTCAAGAACTGCACGTGAGGTTCCAATGGGGAAGGGATGATGTGGCGTTTTGGGATAACAGGATCTCAAATCATACTGCTTCGTATGGATTTGCACCGCATCGGAGACATGCTGTGAGGGTGTGCTGTCATGGGGAGAAGCCAGTTTTGGAGGAAAGCGCGAGGAGTCAGGAAGAGGAATTGGGTGAGAAGTATGGATTACCTGTTGTTAATAAAGATGGAAGTGGACAAAGCAACTATAATGATTGAGATGAAGTCTGGACTTGTAAACAGCTAGTTATATTGGACATGGAGTTCAGGAAATGGGAATCGGGGCAGGGAGTTTAACTTTGCTACATTCTTGGGAATAAGGTCATGGTACCTTGGTAGATATATTTATTATTGTTTTGGCATTGGAGGAGTTCTTTGAAGGCGAATTAAATCCTGAACGAATTTTGACACATAAATATACAGATTTACTGAATAATTTTATTCTCCTTATGTAGATACAGACTTTTCGTGTCTGTCATTCGTGTGGCTGCCATTAACTTCCCAGCCACTACCACCAACCTCGCTCGACACAGTAAAGATTAATTACTCGAATCACCAATTCCTCATATCAAAAAGCTTCAATTGTAAAAATGAAATGAAGTATTGATTGAGGCCATATCAATAATAACCGTTCAATGTTTTAGAATATGGAAAGCATAGATGGATGAATTGTGATTGATTTTTTTAAGGCTGTTTGTTTGCTGGATCGAAGTTGTAATAATTTGGAAGGATTTGGATTGGAAAACGTTGTGATCAAATTCGCGAAGTACCTGCTAAAACTCACCTGGATAAGCTCTACTAGATGTGCAACAAAACGAGTGATTGGTCATGTGTTATTACGTAATTATCATTTATAAGAGTTTTCTCGCGACAACCGCGTTGCATGAGTAAAGATAGGATCGAATATGTAGATGCGTCAGTGGTTTCATACTGGTAAGGGATTCAGCATTTTGGATCTGTATATTATAGCTAACATGCAATCGATTGTCGTCGTTTATGAAGAAATTGCTTTCTTCCCATCTTCCTATGTGGGACAGCAGCATCTTCCTCAGGTCCTGGCAGGTCATCATATGAAACAGTGGTTATCAAGGAATTGATGGTATCTGCCCTGGTACTTACTGTAAATCGTCATGATCAAGCACTGAGCGTTGCATTCCGGCTCGTCCATGGATTTCCATGGTGTTGGCTTCATCACGTGCTGCGCCAGCGGTAACTTTACGTGGGTAATATCAATCTTGAAGTAGCCTTTGGTAGTAGGTATATCTTAACTCAAAATGAAGTTGGGTCTTATGAGTAGTTTTTCATTTCGGAGGCTGTATTGAATTGCATAGTACCTTTCAAAACATAGATGTGCCTCTCGACGGAAGCCTGATATCACGTGGCAGGTACTTCTACGTTTATTTCACTTTTCACTTTCAGTTTCACTTCACCTCCATCTATCACATAACTACCTACATAACTTATTGTATTATCTGATCTCTTCGTTGTAGTTATGAAGGAAGCATGATAAGGGAACTTAGTGTCTCCCTCGTGGTATGTTTTTGTCCCCAGAGATCTTCCAGAAGAAATTGGTGAAGTAGATGATGTTTTCATGAACGCGGTTTGTGAATTTGTCCAAGGGATCTTTTCTCCAACACGATCTTATAATGGACTACACTGTGGATAATACGGCGCTGTCTCAAGAAGATGGCCTGGTTAATACCATGAGCTCTCAAGATGATGCAATGGATTACACTATGGATAATCCAGAAAACACAATGGATTATACTATGAGTCATGACCCGACAAACCAAACGTTGTCCCAACTACCAGATGCGCAAGATTTTTCGGAAGAGGAAGAGGAAGATGATCTTCCCGTCCTTGAGTTTGCTCGTTTGGTTGGTATAGCTCGAGATCATCAACTCGATGATACATCGGTTGATACTTTACTTTCTATGAAGGACGATGTTCATCACAAGTTCACCAACGACATGAATGTCAGACATCTTTCACAGCTCAATATTCAAGCCGACTTCAATACAAATGAGGGAATATCTGTATCTGCAGACGCCGTACGACTTCTCGCATCAGTGGCAGAGAATGAAAGTCAGGAATCTATTAACTCTCTGGTAAATCCATTGCTTGTCAGTAGAAAATCCAAGTATATGAGAGTCGAATCACCGTTGTTACTGAGTGGTCATGAATCTGATTTTCGAGAATTTGCAAGAAGGGAAGGATTCGAGGTGAAACCTCGAGATATCAGATTCCCGCTTGAGTTGGTCAGTGTCGATAATAATGAGGGGTTGGAATTTCCGCCGGAGTTTTACAATTTCGAAACCGAGATGTTCGATATTGTAGCGAATGAGAAGATTGAGGTGACCAAAAATGCCATGATTTCACTTCATGCGACCTTGAAGGCAACATTAACAAAAGAGGATGAGCAACAGATTTGGGAAACTGAAAGAGCACATCCAAAAGTAAGTTTGCATTCCGTCAGATATGTTCATTTACTCGTAACTCCATGCTAATTGTTTCAGAAATTTCCAGTTTCCAGTGATGTAACACCGCCACTTTCTCCAATGTATGTACCGCCGCCTGATAGCCCTCTCCCATTTCTTCCTTCGGCCTGCGAAATCCCATTACTTTCCGATCCTGAATCTCTTACCTCGCTGGATCTGAAAAAGATTGAGGATGAGGTATTCAAGGAAGATCTGCCAGCTCTTATACGCAATAAACCTGAAATTCAAGCAACCCTTTCGACATCTGATAACCAATATATAATACCTGGAAATTTATACTCGCCACCAGAATGCATCAAAACTCTCTATTCAATCTCCTCTTCTATAGAAAATAAACGAATTGTTATGGAAAATAGGAAAGTAGAAGAGATTTTAACTCCACCGAAGCCATTTGCAGAATCAGATTGCAAGAGCGTACACTTCAGTAACGTTGTGGAAACACTTCTGCTCAGCAATAAACCTCAGTCGGGAATTCCCGAGCCCACAATTGAAACCAAGTTTCTCGAGGAAGCATTCGGCAAAAGTGGAGAGCAGGTCAAACGTCGCGTTGAACAAGAGAGGCTCGTGGATACACGAAACCGTGTCAATGTTCCAGAGATGGACTTTAGCATAGCTGGACCTCCTTGGAAGAAAGCAAGTTCTTGTAGCGTCAATGCCGTCGATTCAACTTTACAAGAAATTGTCGAGAAGATTAGTGTAGACCCTTTTATGGGTTGGCCGGGATTGAAGAACTTGCACGCAAAGCTATCATGGGTACCATTTGAACACAGCTTGGGAAATATTGCTGAGGAGTCAGTGGGCAATGAAAAGACGCGCGAATCGCCCGTAGTTCGTCCGGAAGATGACCAAGTGGTTACAAGTTCAGATCTCATCTGGAAGAGGCAAGGCTTCAGAATTCTTCGGGGGGATTTTGATGAAAATGACGACGATGAACTTGAGGTTGGTTTTCTCCGAAAAGAAGTTGCCACTACATCATCAATAACAGGAAAACGAAAATCCGAAATGCAAGATGTAGATCAACGGCCAAAGCAAGCACGTCAATCAGAGTCTCATAGTCACGGAGATGCGAAGACAAGTTTTCGATCGTTTATCACACCCGAGATTCGTAACAAATTGAATATGGAACCAGCTTCCAAAAAAGCACGATCTACTGCTGAAGATCAAATTTCTTTTTCTGGAGGTATATTCTCAATGAAAAATGCACTAAACAATTTCCTAGAGATACGAGGAGTACAAAGACCTAAGCCTACTGAAACCTCTCCCTTTTTTGCTCCGAATGTTGCATCCTCCGCGTCACCTGCATCACCGAATCAGGCAACCTCCAACAATGAAACCTCAGTTCAACAAACTCCCATCCCCCGAACTCATTCGCCCGTCCCAACACCAACCATCATTGCCCCTTCAACCCCCATCTACATCATTCTTTCCTCAGCCATCTTCAAAAATCGCCCTCTAATCCGCTCCCTTCAAACTCTCCTCCCAACCCTCCAAATCTGCGAGCGCGACTTCTCAGCACACAACACCACAACTTGGAACCCCAACTCAGTCGCCCGTTCTCCCGTAACATCAACCCTCACCCACGAAGCCGACATCATCATTTCCCCCACCACCGGACTTATCCTCACAACCCTTCAGCATATCAGACAAAAACCCCTGCCAGGACATAAAACCGTCGTTCCAATTCGCGACCGCTTATTAAAAGTCAGCCCTCGATACGAAAATCTAATCATCCTCGCGGCTTCCACATCGAGCGAATTAGGAGATAGTGATTGTATTGCCTGGGCCGACTTCATCGGCTTCACATTAACACTACCAGCAAGCACAATGGTGCAATACATCCCCATCGACGCTACCAATCCCAATGACCAAACCATGGCGAAATGTATCTCTCATCTCATTATCCAGAATGCTTTACAATCCCCCTCTCCTCCTTCTCCTCCTCCTTCTTCTTCTCCCCCCTCTAACCCTTCCCCTCCATCCTCATTCCCATCCCCCCTAACCATAACCCTCCTAGACCAAGAATCCTACTGGGAACTCTGGCTCCGCAGAGCAGGAATGAATGCTTACGCCGCACAAGCCACAATAATCCAACTCAAAGAACCGGAACCGAGATGTACAATTGGAGAGGAAGGGTATGAGAATGAGATGAGGATGATATCTGAGAGGGGACCGTATGGATTGACACTTTTTGTGGGGATGAGTGGGGAAGAGAGGTTAGCGAGGTTGGGGTGGTTAGTTGGGAGGGGCGTTTTGGGGAGGGTGGGGGAGGTGGTGGATCGGGTTTGGGGGTAGCCGAAGGGGGTGGGGTGGATTGTGGATTGTGGTGAGGGAGGATGTTGGTGGGGATGCTGGATTGGAGACTGAGGTTTATGGGGGGTGGTGGTGTAATGTATGATATCTGGTATATAGCTGCTGTATGCTGTAAGGATCATTTAATAGCTGATAGATATCTGGCTAGATTTACGAAGGATATACCTGCTATTAGGATTGGCTAAAAACAACAAAACAAAATTGCTGTATATATATATGCATAAACGAAGGATAAAAATAAAATAAATACCGAAGGATTCATTTAATAATCATAAACTCCATACTTTCAAACTATTATCTGGTGTTCTACCTTTAGTTTTGCGTATCATAGATGGAGATTGCTGTGAATCCGAAGCACTTTCATCATCGGAGCTATCTTCCTCTGAGTCTGTTGATGTATCATCATCATTAATGTTCGTTTCAGCCCTTTGACCTGAACAAGTTGCTACTACTGTTCCGGATGGATGTAATACAGTCGAACCTATCGGATCTGTGATTTCGAGTTAGTTAAAAATCCGCGAAGTAACATATTAAACGAAGTGAAGAACGAATAAAGACGAAGAAAACAGAGAAAAATCATACCATTATGAGCCTTCCACTCCCAATCACACCCAACACCACCTTCCGTCCCTCCAACCCCCTCCCACACCCTCACCACTCCATCCGTACCGCCAGCCCAAATCTCCATCCCCTTTTCTCCCTCAAAACAACTAACCCCCAATCTCTGATTCGTCTCTGCCTCCCTCCCCTCCAACCAACTAACCAACTTCCCCGTAACCCTCACATCATAAACCAAAACCCCCCTACTCTTCCGCTCCACAACCCACAAATACCTCCCACACGCACTCCACCCCAGCTCACTAATTCCCTGACCCCAATCCGCTTCAGCATCCGCCGCTGCGGAAATATCCCACGTCCCCACCGTGCCCCCCAATCCAGCCGCATCGTACAAACCAACCCATCGTGTCCAAGTCCCCGCTGCTAGCATACTCGAGCCGGAATTCCCGTCTGGGGAAGATTGTAAAGACAATGCACTTACAATCCCACGCATGCCTACACCGCCACCTTTCATTTTGTGGCGTTTGGATGGGATGGTGGGGAGTTTGGTGATGGGTCCTGAGCCGGGATATGAGATGTCGAAGTGGGATATGAGACATTCTGTTCCGGTGAGGAAATGGGTTCCGGGGGTGGTCCAGAGGATGGAGGAGGGAGTGAGGTATTTTTCGGTGGTGGGGCAGATGAGGTTATAGGATGCTTGGGGGGCGGAAGAAGGGGAAAGGATGTTGCAGAGTCGGATGGGAGGGAATGCTTAGGTAGAGGGTTGTGCTGGGGTTGGAGAGGCTGAAGTGTGGGTATGCGGCGATACAGTTTATGGGGATGGGAAGGGTGTGGGGTGGGGAGAAGGAATGGAAGAAATGGTGGGGGAATGTCCCATTGGCTGTCCTATTAATTATCAATCTCAGTGAACGAAATTCCGGTCAAAGAGGTAAATATACATACCATTGTACACTCTTAAAATAATTAACCTCCAAATCCCCATCTCTCACCTGACGATCCTCTCCCAGCCTCTCATCTCGCAAACATTCATCTCTTCCCTCTTTCCCCGCATCCTTCTCCCTCAATTCCCGTTCGCGCACATGAGAAGTAGCAATCGAACAAGAATAAACATCATCCGTAGAAGCCACCAAAGTCAATTTCCTATTTGCCATCTCCATCATGCATCGACAATCTGAAATTTTATCATGAGATGCAAATTCACGTCACATTTTTTCGCGTTTGTTCATGGGAAGACGCGTTGCGGCTTGTTAGGCTCAAACTTTAAATTAACCTTAAAAATTAGCTTCTTGTGACTTTAACTAATTGATTGGTTAGTTTTGTAAGTTAGCCTCGGTTCGCTTGGGAAGGTGTGTTTTCGCTAGATTTTCCTAGATGTGCAACAGAAATCGGCTTTTTGTCGGGGACAAGTTGATTTTATCCTGAAGTGGAGTTGTGGGATTATTGGGGATCTGAGTGAAAATACATGTAAGTGATTTTTTATACTCAATATCGGCCTGATGGGGGTATATCTACTTGTCTTAATGGAGTATTATCATCGGGGAATTTAGAAAATTAGACCTTAATATCAAAAAATGCTATTTTATTTCTTGCCAGGACTCATCCAGCAATAGTTCACAAAAGACGCTTTTCTACACAGTACGTAGGACAGGCGAGCAAGTCCATCTGAAGTCACCTAGACACCAAAAGCCCTGACGTTAAATTTGCTACTTTTGTGAAGCCATATAATCCAGCTAGTGACCATATATAGGTATAGAGACGCACTGTGCGCAAGGCACCATGGTCATATTTTTCCTAGAGTCAATCTACGTGAGCCAGAAGGTCAGTCCTGAGCTCGTTGCTAGAACCTTACTTCAAAAGCGAATATCACAAGAAAGACCGCGGGAAGAGGGATAGCCGAGAAAACTTGGTTACCCAAATAAAGTCTGTGATCCTGTGCTGGGTTCTCAGGTGGCTGCGACGTGATCGTCCAGAACGGCGAAAGTGAGAGTGTGTAGATACCATGCATTTCTCTCTGGAAAAGCTGATTGTAATTTTCATGCATGTCTCCTGGTGATTGTTATCTTGCAGCATATTCATCCATTCTCCGTCGAATGGATATGTGTAGATGTGCTTTCTGTTGACATAAATACTCTAAGAGTCGAACCCAAATCCAGAGCTCGAAGGGTTTAAGATGGTGTGAGCAGGAGGAGTATGTGTAAAAGATTATGCTCGGAATCTGCACCCATATTAAACTGAGAGCCTTCGAGGTCGAGGAATTCGAAAGAGAATGTGTTGTATTATTGGAGTTTGAACCAACTAGGGGCCTAAACTCGGCGATGAGGAATCGGATGACATTTTAGTGTAGTATAATCATCGAAGGATTAAACTTCCTAGTAAAAGCCCAAGATATACTAGCTTCAAAAGTGTAAGAAGTTCACTCGAATGGTGGTAAAAGCCGTCTGGGAACAGTGGTTGCGGCTAATATGATAGCCGCGCCGGTGGTGCGGTGGACTTATAAGACTAATAGCTGGACTACAACATTAAGGCAAAAACATAGGGCCAAATGGTTGGTACTTTGGCCAGGTTGGGTTTCAACATTTGACAGGGAAAGTTGCTTATGATACAGTTATGTTACTAGAATCCGAAGCCATGACTCTAATAAGATAGCTGGTAAAATAAATGGCAAGCTTATAACAAAAACTACAATTGTGCAATGTGTACGGAGTGGTGAGTTCTCGACTTAGAAAATGCATGCGGAAGCAATGGAAGGATTGGGACAAAAAGTAAAAGTAAGCCAGGAGTAACTAAAAGACAATAACATTCTCATCAGTAAACTTGAATGTACTTGGAGATATCTGGTGAATGATATTAGGAGGCAGGAGTGAGTTACTCGAGTATGCCAAGCATGCTGAGTCAGCACCGAAGCTTTTGTTCAAGAAAGCGGTGGCAGAAAAGTCCAAGTCAAAGCACGTGCCGTATCTATACTTCTGTCCGAGGAAAAGATGTTGAGTTGGTATTCACCTTCCTCTCCAACAAAATCCATATGCTAACTCATTGAAACGCCAAGGAGAGGGGAATCCTCTTGATCCTCTCTGCACATATTGTTGATGTTTGGCCTTGCAGCGTTAATCTTGTGTAAATAAAGACTTGCCAATACATGCACTCCTTTCATTTTCCCCTCTTTCACAAATCAATGTTGTGTAAGCAATCTTTACCATACTTCAGATATTGATGAGCCAGGCTATCCTTATGCTTCAATTCTATTACGTTATGAAAATTTATATCAAAATCTCGACTCCTTTGATCTCCCGTGTATATCCGCGCCTGCGTTACACATAGTTGAGGGGTGGAAGTTGTAGCCAACCACTCAAGGCCTGGCTTGGATCTTTACTTTCCGCCTTTCATGCATCGCAGGTCTTAGCATTGAACAACTTTCAGATCAACAACCTCTCCTCATTACCAGGTCATACAATTGAATATTGGCTGGTATCACGACATTCATGATGAAAGGCTTTTATCAAGTAATGCAGGGATGCCAGCTCACTCTTCGACTTGTGCACCGTGACAATTAAATGTCGCTACCAATCGATTTTTACTCTCGTTGTTCCTGTTACTAGTTTTCTTGTCGTCGTCTGATGGTGTCTTTCCAACTCCGTGCCAAAGCCCGCCCCCGAGATGGACCAAAAATTGCTATATGAATGAGAGCATACTGTTTCCGTTAGTTTACGTATCAAAGCAATATAGCGTTTTGCCAAGGTTGGACAAATTCCTCGAATTTTCCATGGCATACGTAAACTTGCGGGGCAAAAAGCATTACATTTGAAACCAACGGCGGAAGGCCCTAAAGAACTGCTTTTGCATTTTCAATACTATCCCTGCAGGATGTCACTATCAAGAACCAGCAAATATTTCTGTTGGCGACCGAACTTTAAAATCAGCCATATCATCTATTTCGACTCAATCTGCTGCATTCCTACATCCAGTGGCGGGTAACTTGCTCATTTTCAACGTTGGGACTCGAAGTCCTCCTGATCCAAGGCTTTGAGCCCATCTTCTCCTCATTTCTAATCCGATCATACGATACTGCAAGCAGTCGAATTTGATCCTTTGATTTCCATATTGCTTGTGAGTGCTTTGAGAAATGCTGGTTCTTTCATGCAAATACATATGGATCTTCGCCATGGACGATGCGGATAGGTTAAAGAGGTCGTATTCAAATGAGGGGCAAGTGCAGACATGAGATTTTGAGTGATCTCCCTCAGTTCTAGTTGAACTGACGTCGAGGTCCTTCGGCGTTGCACGGCTGCAAAATCGTCTATATATACACCTTAAATCTCCGTGGAAGAATGAGCAAAACCTCGATATCCATCACTGTTTATTTACATACCAACACTCATACTTAAGTCGATTGTATCAATAATATCAAAATGTCTCTTCTTACCACAGAGCTTGCTTGCACTTCTGCTCCCGATCAAGTGTTGCATCTTTTCTTCCAAGACGGTCAAAACATTCTCGAGGCGCGATCTCCAGATGGCGGTAATATTTGGACTACGCAAGATACTATCATTGCCAAAGATGGAGATTACAATGGTTCTTCTATGACATGCTACTATGTAGAGAAGGACGCAGATTTTGATAACCAGCCCTCAGTATGTATCGGTCCTCGGTGCTTGCTTGTATCGGCTAACATATTAGATCCATCTCCTCTACATGAACAAGGATAAGCATTTGATGGAGAAAGTTAAGCGCATGAAGGGGGACAATCCAATTTGGGAGGAGGTTAAGATCCCAGACGATGTCAAAAAAGGACCAGAGCAGTATTCGAAGTTGACCAGCGGCTCATTCAACCAAGGCACTGGTTGGAACCCGAATGGTTCACAATGGGCCTACTTTTCAGCGTAGGTTATCATCTTGAGTACTCGATTCTGAAAACTGACTAAGTTCATTCAAAGCGCTAAGGGTGGCAAGATGGGCATCGTCGAAATTCGACGCACCCCAAAGGATCCATGGCATACAGAGACTGTTCTCTCGGAAAATTGGGGTGATCAACTCCCTGGAAGCGCTCTCGCCTGTGTAATTGGGAATGGAAAGATCAAGGTGTTCCTCCAGCACCATGACTACAGCATCATACTCTATGAAAATCAAAATAACACATGGCATGGTAAGTACTAGTTTTTAAGTCTTCTACTCATTTTTTCAAGCTAATTGTTTGTCAGACCGAGGCACCTTCATCCCGAAAGATAAGGTTCAAGCAACAACACCACTTGCTTGCACCATGACCAAGGATGGAAGCGTCCATCTTTTCTACGTCTCAAAGTCCAACAAGATTGTTCACTGCACCGATGGCAAGAAAGAGGAAGAATTGATCAATTTCTTCCCAGGCTCGAAGTTGGGCGTTACTTCAGTTGAGAACAAGATCACCTTGTTCTTCAGAAACTTGAACCCTGTCAATGAAGTTGGCACGCTTGAGAATGACAATGGCTCCTGGAAGCATGGTACTCCTGTTATCCCCGCATGACTCTTGGTGACTAATGAGGAGGATGAATTTTTCTTATGTTGATTTTCAGGACTCCTGCTCGGAAAAAAAGCCATCACCTTTCTCTCACACATAACCACAATCAGTTATTTCGGGATAATAATCATGACGCAATCCACATTCTCTTCATTTTCGCTATCAATTAGCTGTTAGTTATTTTTTGAATCAGTCATTGGCATACCGGAATCATGGTTTTACTTGATGTGATTGTGAGATTTTCTCGTGATAATTCGGTAGCTGCTCCGTAGTGATCTTACTCGCTTAGACATCTAATAGAATTCAACATAGCATCTTATACCCAACTACCCAACTACTGAAACTAAACCTTATACAGATCCTATCAGGCAATTCATGAAGTCACTTTTGTACTAATACAAATATCATTCGAAGACTACATCGTCCTTTATTATGTAGACTGGATTCAATAATTAATCTAATGATTTTCTGGGCTTTACGCTGCGTGCCTCTCACCGATGTTCCAGTTTAGATTTGACAATTGACATATAGACAAGCAAACGTCTCATTGTAGCACCAGTCATCACATGACCATAACGAATTTAATACGATATTGCATACTTAACTGTCTAATATATATAAAAGCTTGTATTCTGAGATTGTTTATCTGTATTCTGACTCTCCTTGATTTACCTCTGAATTGTAGTTAGTATACTGATTTCATGTATCAGGATACATCACAAAGAAGCTTTATGAGTTACACAGAGAATCATGCCATCCCACACCACTTTTAGGGTTATTAGATTTCGGACTCGCCTGTTGATCTTCTTCTACCCATGCATATTCTCCGACCGAGGAATTCACCTCAATATCGAGATTCTTTGGCAATGTTGGTTGAATTGTATGGAGATATGAAGATCAAATGGCTGTGGTAATACCTTTTGTCCCTAGGTAATGCTAACGTGTATTGGCTCGTAGAGTTGGCATAATTCTCTCCCGGCATAAACTTCTTCACATAAAGATTGGTTTGATAAAAAATGATACGACTTATGATGATTGCCAAACTCTTTTGTCCTGCATATACTACATTTTGACAACGGTACATATCTATGAAGAATTCCCAGTGAATCAAGATTATCTGGGTTTTCATTCTCATCCAAATTGATTGATTGGATCGATCGACCACAATCTTGTTCCCGTTTTCTATCATGAACTGTCCTTGCAGAGAGTAACACAAATCGAAGAGGTTTTGACATCCTCTACCGTTTTTGATATCGTACCTACGCCACCATGAGCACCTCTCCATACAACACTTCGAGCTCATCGAAGACAAAAAGCCAAAGCCAATCATTCAGCAGTTCCTATGCTGAAAGTCAAACACCCTCAACCTCCGATTCATCTGCTGTACAAAGATTCCATTCACAACAGCAATTATCTTTTGTCGTTGGCGGAAAATCCTACCTCTTCCCCACCATTTTCGGCGTCTACAGAGATGGCTCGACAAAACTAGTGCTCTCAGAGCACCACATAACAACACCATTCATGATAATTGCCACATCGAATCTCCCCGACGAGCCATCAATTATCGTCTCATCCTCCACCGCCGTAATGGGCACCGTTAATTTCCATGACTCTTCCTCCAAAACCGATATCGTGGTCGGTAACACCTCATCAACTCTCCAATCATCAGGTCTTCTCTCGCCCGTCTGGGATTTTACCTACACATTTGATAATGGACGTCAGGAAGAATTTCAATGGAAAAGAAGTTCCGGAGAAGCAGTCGCGGGCTTAGGGGGTAGGAGAAGGGGATCAAAACTTGTGAGGGTGTCTAGTGGGGAGGTGCTGGCTGCTTGGTCACAGCCAGCTACTATGAATTTGGATAAGGTGGCTAAAATTGGTTTGCTGGATAGTGGGAGAGCGCATGGATGGGGTGAGAGGTGGGAAGTTACGGTTGTTTTGGGTGCTATAGCTCTTATCGAGAAGGATAGAAGGGTTAGAGATAATGCTTCTGCTGCGGCGTAGGATGATATGTGCAATCTAGCTTAGGAAAATATGTGCGATCTAAATTATAGCGAACCCGAGGGATCGAATATGTACAAAGTGTTTGCGAAGATTCAATAAGGAGTTTGTCTTGCTTGGATATAATCCGGAATTAGTCGCAGCGCTATGCGCCATTACGATGCGGTGTCAGTCTTTGCCATTATTGATTTACATCTACTGCACCACTTTTTGTGGTCTTTCTTTCTAGTATTATGGCTTTAGTGAGCCAATTGAAAAATGAGAAATCATTACCAACGAAAAGTTTTTTTTTGGCAACTTTCTAGAACGCAAGATGCAAGTTCTTTCATTGTTCGACTACTCCGATATTCACCACTTCTAATCTCAATGTCTTTGTTGATTTCATGAGAAATTCTCCGCCAAATCTTCGTGCCGTGTGTATATACCGACGTGTCTTTGTTGTCAGTAAAGACAAAGCGGAAGTCTATCCGGAGTGTCCCACGTGGTGAGAACAAAGTTTTTCGAGAATACATCTCAGTACATTTCGAGTCATTGGCTATAGGAATTATCTCTATTAGACTACATACAACTTTCTTATTGATAGTGCTCTAGAGTGGAAAGATATCAAAATAAATATTCTCCATGAAAGAACAAAGATATATTCATCGCGAAAAACTAGCCCCTATGCGGAATCCTACCACTCCTTTCAACAAAAATGATCACTTCCTCCCTCACACATACAAACTATCCAGATATTGCAGATATTCCACATAACCACCCACGCAAATCCAAAACATCCCCATCAACCCAACCACAAAAATGTCAAATAGTCCCAACAGTCCCACCGTCCGACCACAAGAAGACCACGAAGGACTCCAAGTCGTGCCCGACGATGGTCTGCAAACGCCTGAACCAGAAGAATCACCCATGGACAGAGATGTGAAATTCCAACCGTATTCGGCGGCGGCTGCTTACGGCGGCACATTGAACGTCAGTGAACCCGGTTTTGATGTTCCTCCAGGCCCGGAATCACCTCCTCCGGCTTTTCATCTTATAAATGAATATAAAATAAGTAACAACAATACCCTACCTATTGAAGATTCACCTCCCTCCGGAAACAGCCTCAAAAAAAAACGTATATGTGGATTGAGGAAAAGAATTTTTTGGTTATTGATACTACTGTTATTTCTCGCTATCGTTGGATTAGCAGTAGGACTAGGCATCGGACTCAGTGGGTCTAAATCAACATCTTCAGAGCCCCCAACCCCAATTTCCAGCTTCTCAACCTCCTCCTCAACACCAGGAACAAAAACCTCCTCCGCCACCCCCTCAACCACCTCACCCATTGGCCAAACCTGCGTCAACGGCACCGGCCCAGGAAACTACCTCGGCCTCTGCAACTTCTCCTGCAACTTCGGCTACTGTCCCTCTCCGTGCACATGTCTCCAATTCTCCAGCACCGCCATCCCGGCACCCCCTATCACTAATACACCAGGCTTCCCTCTTCCGGGGGAAAACCCTGATTATACCGGTCTATGTAGTTTTACGTGTAATCATGGGTATTGTCCTGAGGGGGCTTGTACTACGGATTCTGATGCTGCTGGTGCGGGAAATTCATCGATGACTACGGCTGCGGCTGTTTCGACGCCTAGTTCGGTTTCTTCGTCTTTGTTGGGTTCGAGTGCAGAGCCGTTGACTCTGACGCCGCCGACTAGTACGGTGGTTGTTACGTTGGTGGGGTCGCAGACTAGTACTGTTGTTGTGGGGCCGAGTACGACGACGGGTTAGGTTGGTGGATCGGGTTTGGATGTATGGATTGGGATATGATGTTTATATTGATTCTGGGTTAGATACATATGGGGATGCATATGCTGGATATCAGATCAAGAAATATAGAAGGGAAGAAAAAGTTGACATCTTATATGTAGAGATGTGTGTATTATATTTTTTATTGTAGGTGTAAGGTTATATATTGATGGGTTCTCGAAAAAGGGGGCATGATAAATTGGATATAGAAATTGTTTAGACTAGAAATGTTGAAAGGGTTTTACTGCTATTAGAAAGTGCCTCCTCAAGATCTGACACATGAGCAAGAAGCAACTCTGTGAAAGAAGCTGGGAATCGACGTGCAAACCTAGTGATCTCGAAGTCCAAATGGCAAGGGGGAATATATTTCAGTAACCTCTTCTATTCCATTCCTATCAATAACCCCAAAGAACCAAATTTCCTGACTTTCACCTACTTACTTACATACCTGTCCACGATCCTCTAAGAAAGTGATAACAATTCCCCAATCACTACTCACTACTCACTACCCACCACATAACAAATGGGTGGTATTACAGTATTCCTGGGTACTGTTGCTGGTGCTCCCGATATTATATCATTTTATAACTATTCCCACAAATAAGTTAAGATACAGTATAGATTAAGAGAGCCTCACCAACCAAAAGAATTAACAGTAGGTATCAATTTACTAATCTTATAAGAAATTGTTTACTCTCCAGCTACATAACAGCTACGGCTACGGCTACGGCTACAGCTACAGCTACAGCTACAGCTACAGCTACAGCTACAACTAAAACTACCAATTAATTATTTCCCAATCTTTGACTTCTTCCTAACTTTCTCCACCAAACTACTAAGATCAGCCTTTTCTTCCTTCTCCCCCTCAACCTTCCTCTTCTTATTCTTCGTCTTAATTTCAACCTCGCCATCATTCTCTCCACCCCTCTTTCTCCTTCCTTCTTCTAACAATTTCTTCATACCTTCCGTGCCCTTAAACTTTGGATTACTAGGATCAATAGCATACTCATGATTTTTGAACACATCTCCGAATCTCTCATCACCAACATCCATTTGGAAATTTTCTTGTAAACCACCTCTTTTGCTTTCTGCTTCTTCACCTTTCTTCCCTTTCTTACCCTTCTTCTTTTTTGCTTTCTCCGCCCGTTGAATCTCCGCGATATCGAAATGATCCAGATGTTCCACTTTATCCGTCGAATTATCTTGCATAAGTAATTCCAATTCTGCACGATTCGAAGCTTTTTCTTCGGCTTCCTTAAGTTTGGCCTCGTGTTTCTTCTTGCGTTCTTCTTTTCGCAATGATTTAGCTGCTTTAGATTTGGTGGCTTCATCTGTTGCGAAGAAGGGATCGTCGAATCCGAGATCTTCCTTGGCTTCTTCGGCTTCTTCTTCATCGCCAGAAGCATTTGGATCTTTCCCTTCACGGAGTGCCTTTGCTTTTTCTCTTCTTCGGGCTTTTCGTTCTTTTTCCTTACGGATATATGCTTCGGCTGTGGTTTCATTGGGTATGGGTTCGTTTTCGAAGATGCTTCCTTTGGTAGTGCCAGTTAGGCCAGCTGTGAATGTAATCTCCATATCACCGACTGGGCCACTAGCTTTCTTCTTCTTCGTTGGCTCATCGCCAAGTCCTAGAGCCGCACGAAGTTTCTGTCTTTCCAACTCCTTCTTCGATAATTTAGGGGTATCCTCCTCAGCCGCTTCCTCTTCCTCATCATCTTCCGAATCACTTCCCAAGTATGCCCGTAGATCATTTTCGCCAATTTCTGCTCGACTACCAGTAAATGCTCGATTAATTGCATCTTTTCGGCTTGCTTCCTCAGGGTTCATATCCCATGTGAGTTTGACTTTAGAATGTTGAAGCGCGTCTGTAACAAATTCTGTAGGTTTATATCCTGTAGGTACCTCCGTACATTCATCTCTTGGTTTATCATCGAAATCAGTACCATCCGGGATAAATCGTAAATCGAAGAAGTTCGCAGAGCTCAAATACTCTGTCCCATCACATTTCTGATAAATGTTCTCTGCGGTTTTCTCGTCTGAACAAACAACAACGGCGTAAAAATATCGTAATCTTTCCAGCTGATATTGTCGTAAAGCCGCACTGTCGAATTCGTTGCCTTCGTCTCCTTTTTGTAGATCCCTCTTAATTTTCTCCTCCAGTTCTTCGTCATCTGTATCCTCGCCATCTTCCTCCTCCTCCTCCTCAACCTCTTCCCCTTGTTTCTTCGCAAAAATTTCTTTTGGTGGACCCTCCAATTCCTCCCGCTCCATCCTTTCTTTTCCATATTCAGACTGATAAATAGAAATCTTATGAATCTTTCCTCCAGGCTTAACAAAACTCTGAAAAACAGCCATTAAATCCACCGATCGAATATTATCCCAATCTAAATTAACCACCGCGATTCTCGAAGAAACTTCCCCCATCTCAACAGTCTGCTGCTCCGCTTGCATATCCGGAAAAGCTTCCTCTTCAATTTCCACCCCTCCATCTTCATCCTCGTCCTCATCCTCATCTTCCGAGGAAGAAAATCCACCACCTCTCGCAGGATCATACGCCGCAGCTGCTTTTCTCAATTCTTTTTCCACTACCTCATCATCCTCCACTTCCACATCTTCTCTAGGCTCATTTCCATTTTCACTCTCACTCTCCTCCTCATCTTCCTCATCCTCATCAACATACAATCTCTCAAGCGCCTTTTTCTTCCCACTAACACTCAATTTCCTTCCATATCGATCAACCTTTGCCGAATTAGAAAAATCCTCATCTTTCAACATGCGCGAAAATCGTTTATCAATCTTCGTCCGAGCTTGTTTTTTAGAAGGAAGACGAAATCGTGGATCGGTCGAAAAATTAGAAAATCGAGGATCATTAACTTCCGCGGTAGAGGAGGCATCTTTCGATGCGCCCTTGGGAGCTTTTTGTTTATGCATTGTGTTATAAGTAGATGAGGAATGCGAAATTGAAGAGCTGGGGATTGGAAAATCGGATTTGGGACTGAGAAACTTTTTTTGAAGATTGCGGGTTCTGCCGGTGGAAAGGAAAAGCGGTGAAAACTTTAGCTGTGGCTGGTTGAAATGATTAGTCATTCAGCTACAGCTTTAAGCCACACAATGACGAATTGGTGCATGCAGATCTTATCAACATGGAAATGCATCCAGAAATCGCAATTTATCAAGTTAGATATGAATAACCTCCATTCATCCTACACAAATACAAAATAAATTCGACTTCAAACCCTACCACATAGCCATCCAAAAAATAAATCAAAAATGGATCAACCCACCGAACCCGTAACCAAACGTGTACGTGAACCTCTCCCCGTACCGTGAACCCCAAACATCCCAAACTCTGCACCTCCTCCATACATTTAATTTCTAGATTAACCTACATATAAAGCTAAATTTCCCCAGATAGCATTTACAGTAAGCGGACAAGTCCAAGGTAAGTTTAAGATTTACCCCATATCTATAACTTTACCTGAACATCCATCCATCACGAATACGAAACCACACTATCTATCTATCTATCCATCCATCCATCTTTTACAAGAAATAACCCCTGCCCCCAAAACCCACAGGTGTGAATTTCCGCTCCTTTACGCAGAAAAAGGCCAAGGCGTTGGGAATTATCGGTTGGGTACGAAATACTAGTGATGGGAAGGTATGTTATATATCTCCCCCCCTTTCCTTCCCCCCCAACACCTAATCTCCATCCCCATATGTCCTTACCAACAAATACTCCAAACCACCACCTTCTCACCCTCTCACCCCTTATCCTCACAGGTAGAAGGCGAAGCCCAAGGCAACACATCCCAAATCGAAAGTTTACGCTCAGATCTCAGGAAAGGACCTTATTATGCGCGGGTGACGGGTTATGAGGAGAAGGATTTGGAGTCTAAGCGGGAAGGGGTTGTGGAGGAGGAATTTCGGGTTGTGAGGTAGATGTAGAGAAGGAAGTGAGGAAGTGAGGAAGTGAGACGAGATGAGTTTAGTTGAGATGAGATGGGGAAAAGAGAATGAGGATACTTTTAGGGATGGGGTGTCAAGTTAAGGGGGATGTGGATGTGGGCGTGGGGATTTATGCATTAATATGTAGGTGGTGTTTGATGTTTGGATTGAGGACTTCAGACGTGTGGTATTGATGGAGTAAGTATTCGGAAAAAGGTATGAGGGAAAGATAACGAATTTGTGATGACAAGCCTGCTAGTTACATACACGCAAGTGATGTTCCACAACGAAGAAATACAACACTCAATGTATTGAACCATCACCATCAGCCGTACAAATGACTTGCCAGAAGGACTAGATATACAAACAACTCTTAATTCTCATAATCCTCATAATCCTCATAAATATACACAACCCCCATTATAAACGTAAGTATATACAATCAATCAAAAATTACACACTAAACCACAACAACATTCCCTAGCACCCTCAAATCCCTCGAACTCGCCCCAACATTCACAACATAAGTACCCCTAACCACCAACCAATCCTGCGCCGTCGTATCCCAAACACTCAAATCTCTTCTTCTCAGCTTAAACCCTAATGTCTCTGAATCTCCCGCCGCCAACAAACTCGTCTTTTCAAATCCTCTCAATTGTCTAACTGGTTCATCTGCTTCAGCTGGGAATTCTAAATACAATTCCGCAATCTCATTTCCTGCTACTGAGCCGGAATTGGAAATCGTGACATTGACAGATACGACGTCTGTCCAGAGATCTTCTTTTCCTCCTACGGATAAGATACCAGTTGGGTATGTGGAAGCTAGGGCAGTTGGATTAATAATTTCGACTTCGAGGTTGGAGTAGGTGAAGTTGGTATAACTTAATCCGAATCCAAATTCGAATCTGGGTGTAATATTAAAAGCGTCGAAGTATTTGTAATCGATATAGTTACCCTCAGTAAAGTTGCAAACGTGGGTTGTGCAGATTTCTACATTGTAGTCTGATTCGTTTTTTGCGATGGTGTGGGATAAACGGCCTGAGGGGTTGACATTTCCGTAGAGAATATCGACGATGGAATCACCGGATTCTTGACCAAGAAGTCCACCATAGACAACGGCTGTGACGTTTTTATTCTCGATCCAGGTGTCAACGAGCCGGGCACCAACAGTATTGATTATGACGATTGTGTTGTTGCATTCGGCTGCGACAGAGGTGACAAGGGAATCTTGTTCGGTGTTTCGGAGTTCGGTGCGGTCAGCGCCTTCGCCGGAGAATGCATTTAGGAATACGAGACATACTTCTGCGTCAGAAGCATAGCTAGAAATACTTTGAGTGAGAGCGGTTCCACCACTAAGTCCAGGGAATACACTACTGTCACCGCTGCCTGTGGTTCCGTTATTACCCCCACTTGGAGCGGTTCCATTTCCACCAAGGTCTACTGTATCCTGTCCCTTAATGAAAGCTCCAAATCCTCCGGAGATCGTACTGGTGTAGGTGTTGTTTAGGATCCAACGTATCATAGTGCCGTCCTGTTTAGCCTGAGTGGTGAGGGCATGTTGAGGAGTAATGAGGTAAGGGAAAGAAGTTTGACCAGAACCAGAACCACCGGCAAGATGTCCCTGATATGTCATTTCAGTGTTATTGACAGTAAAGGCGTAGTTTGGTCCAGCCATGACGGGACCAGCGTGTGGACCGAAGATGGCCATGCTTAATGGCTTCGAAAGAGGTAAAGCATTATTGGTATTTTTGAGTAGAACCAAGGAAGCTGCACCATTTTCTCTCACAATAGTACCGTGATTGGCCCGAACATCACGGTAAGCTGAAGATGAGACGTAAGAAGGCTGGCTACCGTTGTTGAGATTGACATAGTAGTATCCTATGACATTTCGCATGGCCATATCGTCAAGTCGTGCTTGCGACAGAGTACCATTAGAGAGACCAGTGGTAATAGAGGAGTTACTCCAGATTCTCGAACTTCCATAGTCAAGACCTCCATTTGCCGAACCAAAAGCAGTTGATTGGCCACTTACATCAGGGTATACAAGCCCTGGGAATCCTATCTCGGTCTTTAGATAATGCATTAAAAGATCCGAGTTTTCGCAGGAGAGTGTGCCATTGACTTGAGTCATGGCGCACATGACAGCACCCAATCCGTTCTTGACGCCGTCATAGAATGGCGCGAGGTATGTCTCATGAAGGGTTTTATCATCAACATTGGAAGTGTATGGAGCAATATCACCTGTGCTTGATTGTCGATTGGTTTCTTGCTCATTGAGAAGAAAATGCTTGCCTCCGGGAATGCTGCACACACGGATTTAGTTTATTACAATGAGCTTAAAATGGTTGAGAGGATGAAACAGCCATCGAGAATTAGAAAGCAGTTAAGAACAGATTGAACATACATTCCAGTTTCTGTGAAGGCTTTAACACCAAGTCCAAACATAATACCATTGAGGTAACTATCTTGTCCCATAGTTTCGACTAGACGACCACCCCAAGGAGTTCGACCAAGAGGCTGAGACGTCGGAGCATTCGTAACCTGTACACCTTTGTTGTAGAATTCGGCGGCAATTCCTTTGAACTGATTCCACATCATGGTTTTATCCCAAGAATGCGCAAGTGCAGATGTTTCTGACCAACCAGTAACATATTCGTAGGCCTGTGGACCTTGTGTCCCATCTAAAAATACGAGAGATTTCCAGTTGGCTGATTTGACATCGCTGCCAGTGATTAAGCTAAGTTTATCTTCATTGGAAAGTCCGGCAATGAAAGCTTGAGCTTGCGCATAAGCTGCGGACCAAGCCCCAAGATCAACTGAAAGATGATTAGCATGAATACTTCTGGTTGGTTTTGTCCAAATTGACCTACCGTTATTGGAACCCAGTAGCCCTTCCACCGAGGAAGAATTTGTAGCACCAACGGCCAAAGGTAAAAGAAAGGCGCCAATTATATGGCAAATTTGAACCCTCATGACAGGCAAAAGAAAGCAAACTTAAACAATAGAAAATGAGTGTAGAATGCTAGAAAGATGTGACTCGAAGGTGCAAGTGAGCATGAAGTGCAGAAACACTCGGCTGACTTCATTGTAGATATACTTAATTGCTTCTGCCTTATCAACTACGAAAAGTGCTTTGAAAGATTTACACAAAGCCTGGCCAGCGACATACGCAATCCAATAGTGTTGCCGAAAGAACCCCCTGGATTACGTGGGGACATGATGATATGCGGTGCTATCTTGACGATACCCTCAAGGGCTGTGATGTGGCAATGTTCACTGAACTCGGCAACATCCATAGGATTTACAAAGAAGTCAAAGTACAGGATATGGCCGCGTAATACCATATCTCTACTCCCTACCAGCATCATCATATCCTTCAAGGTTTTGATGTGATGGATTCATGGAAAATTTGGAAAGAGCATCGTGCATAGTGGACGGCGATGGCAATGAGTGGACGGAGATGCGATGTTTGAAGAAGAATTAAGATGAGAGTGGGATAGAAAAGAGAAAGTAAACGGTGAGTGACGACGGACTCCATTGTCAATGCTCCACGCTTTGCTATTTGTAAGGCTAAACTTTTGTTGCGAAAAGATGATGATTCCCCGAGAGCGTTTGAAATGGTGCCAAGCCACCGATATCCCTTTGGTAGCACTTCGGTTCTCATCTGTACAGAAACTTATTAGAGTTTTGTGGAAGTTCCTAGATTAACCGACATCCCAACATCTTGCACGCATTTTATAACCTTAAAAATTATCAACTATATAAATTAAATCACCACTAGTATAACTATACAGAATATTGTAAAACTCATATTAACTCATATTGAAAGGTAAAAGCATCTTCAATATACTAGGGGCCTGCGCCCCCCGGACCCCTGGCTTTTCGAGAAAGTCTAATGAAAATTCAAGTTTTAAAAAGTTTATAATAAATTTAAATATTGAATATATATTAGGGTGCAGACAGAATATCAGCTTGTTTTTGATAATTGAAAATTAAAATATTTTATTTAAAAATAACAATTATTATTATTATTATTATTATTATTATTATTATTATTATTATTATTATTATTATTATTATTATTATTATTATTATTATTATTATTATTATTATTATTATTATTATTATTATTATTATTATTATTATTTTGAATGAGATGAATTGAATAAATAAAGTTGAATTGAAAAAAGTTTCAAGTCAGATTTGTTTGAGATTATAAAGTTTAGTTTATATCAAGTATTTTATTAGATTATTTATTAGAGTATTTTAAATCAATTAGATTATCAAAATTGTGATTTATTTAAACAAGTTTCTCATTTTCTATAATCTATATCGGGTAAATTGTAGTATATTATATATACAGTAAGCTTTTGATATCAATAAACTAATAATGAACAAATAAAAAAATAATTTATATATTATAATTATAATTAAAATTATATTAAGTGTTTCGATATTTAACACTATAATACTACATTTATAATAGAAATTGTAAATATAACCTTTATGATTTAATGATTGAAAATTTGAAAAATATTTAAAGCAAAGAAAAAGAAGAAGAAAGAGTTTCAAGCTCGCAGCTCTAGTGCCGGTAGAGACACTCATCCAGCCAGAAAATATAAATACCCGAACACAAATCGGTGTTAAGAAAGAGAGGATAGCCTTAAGAACAGAGCAGTTTGATATCCTCCCATATCCTTTGAAGAGTTAACGGATCGGTGGTTGCTTGATTCGGAAGGGGCCTTGGCGTTTCCCTACAATGGAAACAAGTGGATGAACACGATTCAGGGGGCTATCGGTATTTAGTAAGTTTTCCGGAGTACAGTCGTACACCTTGTTGAAGTCCGAGTAAGCAGATGGGGATGAACCGCGGGTTCTGTTCAAGGAAGCCAATGCTTCAACTCCATAGTGGACGTGGTGGACGAGGATGTCTAAAATGCATAATAAAATATATTATCAATGAATATGATATGTTTATAGAGGCGGTCTAATATTTATCCGATTTAAGCAAAATGCCAAGAGCCCGAACATACAATGCATGCTGTCGATGATGAGGTTTAACATCGGCATTCACGCCCTCATAACTCTCCTTCCTGATTGACACAGTGGACGAGGTGGACGAAAAGACTGAATGTAGGTATCCAAGCGGTGAGGTTTCTCAAATACTATGCGGAGAGGGTAAGGTTAACAGAGCGCGAATACATTGTGCTGATGCTGAGGTTGAGGTTGAATGGGATGAATACATATACCTTGTGAGTATATAATAAATAGTATATATATATACTATTTACTACTTACTCCATGGGTTCGTTCCTTCATAGGGCTTTGCTTGTCTTAGCTCAATATTACTAAGCACATCAAGATCTGACAACTTATAATTCCTGCTTCAAATTATCAAAGTCTTCTTCAAATTCACCATGCTATCGTCTTTGTACTCAATTTCAACTATCGAGCATCATCGCATTTGCAAGCCAGAATGCTCTTAGTAATAATAGCCTAATCTCAGACAGACTGTCCTTGAGATCCGATTTCAGTCGCTCAATTCATCAGAGGAACACAGAGGAGACGAAACGAAACATTTAAGATTCATTTAGCTCGGTTTCCGGACAAAATGAACATTGCGAATCTTTGCTCAGGATGCTCAAAACTAAACATCACCCCGTCCTCTTTCACATCAGATCCCCATCGAGAAGCTTATCAATTAGGATCTTACAATGATCTTTTGAATCGAGACACCTGTCCATTATGTCTGTTACTGGTTGAAACTAGCAAGAACGGTCCGTATTCTATTATATCACCAAATCTTGGGCCACTGCATTTCACAGCATTTTGGCACAACGCGTCTCCGGAAGATGTAGATGACGCCCCAAATGGTAATTTCGCTGTGTTATTAGTATATATACAAAGTATAAATCAAGCGGGTGGTCTGCCAATCACCTTACGACCAATAAATAGTCTGGGGTCGGAGTGCCTCCATTATGCAAAGGATGAAGATTCTTCCTTTATTGACTTTGATTTGGTGAGAGGTTGGATGGAAGGGTGCGAGAAAAACCACAAGTGTGGGGAGAGTTTTACTTCCCTGACTGGAACTTATCGGACACCCGCTGAGTTTAAATGTATTGACGTGGAACAAATGTGTATTGTTGAGCCTCCTGAAAAGTGCCGATATATAAGCTTAAGTTATGTTTGGGGAACTGGTAAGAAATTCGTCTCGCTGAAGGAAAATTATAAGCATCTATCAACTCCCGGTGGACTCGCCGATTATCTCGGCCAGCTCAGTCGAACAATACAAGATGCGATAGATGTCACAAAACGACTACGAGAACGCTATCTCTGGATTGATAGTTTGTGTATAATACAAGATGGACTCGAGGAAAAACAAAAAGCATTGGAAGATATGGGCTTGGTTTATAGTCAAGCTCTGCTCATGATATGTGCCGCTGATGATCGATGTCCTGAGGATGGTCTACGTGGTCTCAATGTCCCACGAAAAATATCGCAATACAAACGAGAAATCATGCCAGGTCTCACACTTGCTGCACAATACGCTTTTGAACCATATGTTGATGCCTCGATCTACAATAGCCGAGGATGGACGTATGCATCCTCGTTTTTATGACTAAAAACTGATGAGCTGACAAGATATTAGATATCAGGAAGAGCAGTTCTCATCGAGAATGGTCGTCTTCATTAATGATCAGATATACTATCGCTGCACAAATGCGGTCTGCTCTGAAGTTGTTGTCTCCGATACAAGCAAAAACCACGATCAGGAGCTGAAGCAGTCAGACACTAAGCGGCGGTTAATTGGTCGAAAAAACACATCTCTCTCCATGCTATACTTTCGTGCCGTGGAAACATACACGGCTCGCAATCTAACCTATCCTTCTGACATCATCAATGCGCTTGCAGGTGTTTTAAATACTCAAGGTAATGCCATGAATTGTGATATATTTTATGGTTTACCATCTGCGATATTTGACATGGCTCTACTCTGGCAACCATGCGGGAAAGTCATTAGACGGGAAGGATTTCCTTCTTGGTCTTGGGCTGGATGGCAAGGTCAAGTGCGTTGGTATGGTGACACTATGGAAATGGCTTCTTCTGGATTATATGGGTCTACGGAAGATTTAGAACACAAGAAGATAACAACATGGCTGCTCAATCAAACCTGGATTGATTGGTATCAATGTATAGATGGAAAGGTACTTACAGTTTGGTCTCCGAAAGGTCATAGTACAGAACTGTTGCAACGCGAGAGCCAATCTATTGGACCAACAGAACAAGCCGTCGGATACTCTGCGTCTACTTCATCACCAACAAATTTATATGGGCGGACGAAAGATAACAAGGTTTTACTCGCTCCAGATCTTCCAATTTTTCCACTACAATCAATACTTCCAACACCGTCAGATCCCCAATACTTATACTTTTCTACAATCTCTGTTCAATACCGCATTCGTCCCACACCATCCTATCTGCGCTATGGTTCTATCGATCCTCCAGTAAGTTCCGGCTCAACTTCTAACATTCCATTCATTTTTCCACATGTCTCAATCCCAAAACCTCCGCTATCCCTACTCTAATCCCAATTAACACTCCAAACCCTGATAGTGGGACCCCACCCATCGTACAATCTACCACCTCCTCAACAACACCTCCCAAGTATGCGGATACATCCTCCTCCCCTCCACATTTCAAGCCCTCTACCCCAACCAATTCCAACAACCACCAACCATCTACGACGCAGACTGGACCAAAGGAGGTACAGGCAGCGAACCCATATTTGAATTCCTCCTATTAAGTAAAGCGAATTATTACTGTGATTGGGGCCGACCACATGAAGCACATCCGTATCGAAAAGGTTAGTTCCCTCCCTTCCTCTCATTTTCAAACCCTTCTTCCTCATTCCTCATTGCCCTTATATATGAATATAAATATAAATATACAATACTATTGCTCCAATTCCTAGAGTCCCATAACTAATATATATATGTACCAAATGAGATAGGCTGGGAAATGGAAGATTATATAGAAATACATATCATGATGATTAAAACGAGAGATGATGGCGTGATGGAAAGAATAGGTATTGGGAGATTACATGAAGATGCTATTAAGGATGCTTGTGGAGAGGGAGCGAAGTGGAAAGATATTGTTTTGGGTTGAGGTGAGGATTGTTTGGTTGGAAGATTAAATTAGGTGGTGGTTTTTGTGGTGGAATCTTAGGAGGGAGTGATTTAAGAGTTAGAAGTTAAGATTCTGTGATGAGTATAGCTGGGAAGATTCATTTAGATGGATACTCTATGACGGGCGGGCGCTGTTGAAACGGTATCTGGTTGTGTGTTAGGCGTAGAATATAAATCGATATATGATTTAAGTATTAGTATATCTTATATTTATAAAACATCATCTCATCAACCTTAACCTGTCTCTTCCTCAAAATCCCTTTAAGAATTCATTGCTTATCAAAATATATTATCATTTTAATCTTTAATAAAAAGAATTATAATTATAATAGTGTAAAAGTGGTAGGTCGAGATACATGCGTCCTGATAGTATACTGTGATGGAGAATTGAAAGAGAAAGCTGATTATATTATATTATAATATATTATTTATAAAGAAAACAGGATTTATAATGATTTAAGGGTTGAGGTTATATGGGATGAAATGTATATATATAGAAAACTGATTGTTGTGAAAAGGAGAAGTAGAAGTTTTTTTTATTATCTAATTATAAGAGGTTATATGATTGACTAATTAAAAACCCTTATATATTTAATCTATAATTTCAACTTTCTTATAATAGTTTTATCACAGACATTCTCAGGATATAAATTATAATCTGCAATTATTATAAGTAAAAACTCTATATTTGTAACACTAATATATAAATCCTCTACCTTATATTTCAATCACTCTCTTATTCCGGTCACTCTTTTACATCAAAAACCACGATTTTCATTTATTAATAAATTTATAACTAATCAATAAAATCGATTAAAATTTTGATTATGAATAATTTGAATAGATATAAATAGATTTTGAAAATTTTAGATTTTTCGTGATTTTATTTTATATAAGATTTATATACAAATAAAATTTCAATTTTCAATTATTAATATCTCAATTAATAAAATTATGAAAAATCTAAAATTTTCAAAATTTATTATTATATAAATGATAAATCTATGTATAAGATTTTAGAAAATTATATCTATAAATACAAAAGTTTTAAATATCAATTTTTGTTATTTTTGATACAAAAAGTATAACATTTTGATATTATTAAACAGTGACTGTCTTAGGTTTATTTGATTAATAATTATAAATGAAAGTTTTATTATTAGTATTTATTTGAAAGTAAAAATATTATTAAATCAAATAAAATATAAATAAACTAATTAATAATTAAATTAAATATAAAACTTTTATATTATAAAATAAATATTAATTATATATTAATCTTTGAATATTGAATAGAATAGATTATTAATTTATTTAAACTATCTTTTAAATTGAATAAATAATTTATCTAGTTTATTTATTATATAATTTAATCTTTTAGATTATTCATTTTAAATATTAATCCCGAAATCTTTTTCTTAAGATTTAAATCTTAGAATATTATCAAGGGCCTGCGCCCCCCGGACCCCTGGCTTTTCGAGAAAGTCTAATGAAAATTCAAATTTAAATTTTTTTATAATAAATTTAAATATTGAATATATATCAAGGTGTAGATAGAATACTTATTTGTTTTTGATAATTGAAAATCAATTTTTTTTTATTTAAAAGTAATAATTATTTTTATTATTTTGAATTGAATGAGATGAATTGAATAAGTTAAATTGAATAAATAAAAGTAAATGATTTTAATAAAGTTGAATTGAATGATTTCAATAAAATTGAAAAAAGTTTTAAGTCAGATTTGTTTAAAATTATAAGACTTATATTCAACTTTTTGTTAAATTATTTATCAAAGTATTTTAGACCAATTAGATTATCAGGATCACAATTCGCTTAAACAAGTTTCTTATTTTCTATAATTTACATCAGATAAACCTTATATACAACAAGGTTTTGATATCGGCAAGCTGATAATAAAAATATAAAAATGTAAAAAGTGGACGAGATAAGATTATTATATATTTAATTTTTAAAGAATAGATTAATAAAGATGAGAATAAGAATAAGAATAAGATTAAATAAGAGAGGGTAGATAGTTTTATTATATACAATAAATAGATTAGAAATTTGAATGAGTTCTAGATTAAGATTAATAGGTTTTGTATTTAGAAGAAGTAGGTCGTTATTGACTCTTCTGTTTTCGATTCAGAAATTCCTCATCCAAATATTGAAGAATGAAAAAATAGAATCTCCAAGGAAATCAGAGTAAAGACTACTAATTGAGAATGATCAGATCACTAAAGAATACAACACGACATACAAACAACATTTCCAAGACCAGAAAAAAAGGTATATTCATACAAGTCGAAAACTCTAAGTAAAATCCCTCTTGTCATCATCATTCAAGTGACAGATCAAGAACACCTCAAACCCTTTAAACTCCCACCTACTACCCTATATGACACGCTCAAATAGCTCCTAGAAAGAAAGAAAAAGAAGGATAATGAAATCCCCTAACGCTTGCAAATCTAAAATCTTCAATCCCTACGACTCATTCGCCTTCCACGTCCAAATTGAGTTGAAGTAGGACTTGTTGGTGTACTTGGTCTAGCCGATGGTGGAAGACCTAATTTGACTTCTCCAACCCGTCGTAAAAGTCCTTGTAACGCCAATCTAATTTCCACACCCATATCCCTAGAAAGTAAATCCACTGAGAGTGGATAGAAGACCTCGGCGTACTTCTCGAATCCTTCTTGTGGGAAATTTGTGTACCCTTCTAAAACATCTACAACCACCGGTCGCCATGCAATAATGTTCCTTTGTTGACTCTCTTCTTCAAGCTGTGTAAAACCACGGATGATATCGGCACATAATGGCACTAAAGCTTGCTCGGTATCTGCGCGGTTTCGTTTCCGCTCTTCACCTTCGTCATGATACATTCTAAGTAGAATAGACACATATGTCGCTGCACTGCCAGATTCTTGCTTCAACAAGTTGGGTGGCTGTTTCATAAACCCTTCACGCCACAGGCGCATGCGAAGTTCCTTGTTTTCGTTGAATTTTTTGGCGAACAGGAAAGACTTCTTGAGTAGAGCCATGAGCCTGAGTAGTTCTGGGCTAGGAATCTGTGCATAGACAGTATCGTTTGAGAAAAGCTCATTGACTGTCTCGATCATCAAGAGTTGTAAAACACATCTAGTGATGATTTTATTGAAAAAGCGTCGGCGAGCTGCAGTGACGACCACTGGCTGTTGCTGAAGACCTGATTGTGGCTTATAGTCTTCTAAATCTGGAGTCTGAGCGACCGGCGTCTGACCCTCTTGCTCCGCAATGCTTTCTGCATCCGAGGCAGCAGCTCCATTTGTACCATTGATCTTTAGAGATTGATCATCTTCAAGATCATCCATTGCTGACGAAGAACTCTCCATAATACCACCAGCTGCAGATGATGTTGCAGCGGAGAATAATTGATATGCAGTAGTCCTTTCAAACAACTCTACAAATGCCCCAACTATTTTTGACCAATGTTGTGGTCTGAATTTTGTGACATTTTGCAAGATTAATTGCTGTAAACAATTACTGCCGATTCGAGCAATTGTGTCATTCTCTTGACATATACATAAAGCAAGGAGATCAAGAAATCTATCCAGCATGTATTCAAGCGATTCAAAATAGTGAGTGAATAAAGTGATCATGTTTCGGAGAGCTTGAATCATCGTTGTCGATAGCCATACAGATAACTCCTCATGATTAACAACGTTGGACATCTCGGACTTCGATTTGAGCACCATGAAGATAGGATAAAGGAGTTGTCGCCACAGAATGTCCCAGAAGTCCGAGGGGAAGTCACCTCCATATCTGATTAATGATTCGAAAAGGTAGTTCAGAGCATTGGAACGAACCTCCAGATCTTCCCCAGTCATAAGAACATCGTGAAAGGCGAATAAAACGGGAAACCAAAAGGCTTCCTCTTGAGTCGTACGACTGACCGGATTTGTAGCTGTTTCTGGAGTCTTAACAGAACCATCCGAATTCGCATCTGATTTGTGAGACAGTGGACACTCTGGGGTTTTCAACATCTTAGGAATAATTGATTTTAATGTCTCCATAGCTTGTAAACCCTTCTTCTGGAACTTCATATTTTTTGAGAACTCAGTCAAGCAGACGATTAAGTCTGCAAATGCACCCTGGGAGATGACAACACCAAACCGAGTTTTGTATACTTGGTTAACATTTTCGAAAGCAAGGTTGACAATGCTCTCGTATGGCTCACGAGCTGCGACCGTAAATACGCCGAACATTGTTCTCCATCCGGAGCGTATGTTCTCCCCACGGGCTTGGATCATTTGTATCAAACACCGTAAAGCCATATCCTTCACAGAGACAACGTTTGAGTTCGACATTACATGCTCGAACGGTTTCAAAAAGTCCTTTTGAAATTTGAATCCGGGAAGTTCCTCGATTTCCATAAATCGCATGGACAGTTGACGCAATGAATCCAAAGCAAAGAATACCACGGCAGTATTGTTATGACATCCAACTCTATTAAAGTGTTCACCCAAAACAGCCCAAATATTGGTCCATTCAAACCGAACACGAGTCATGTTGTAGTAGCTGATTTCCACGAGTTTCTGAAGACTGTATGTACGTGGGGACTCGTTAGAGCCTGATATCTTAATCTCATCCCAACTGACCTCGGTCAGAGCTCTGGCAAAGTGTACAATAGCTTCACCAGAAAGATTGGCCGTGTTTGTGAATATCCTGTCGACCCCCTTGATAACTTCGTCGGACCTACTTTCCATTGCGATCTCGATTGAATAGGTGGTACTTTGTGTATTCGTCCTAGGACGAGATTTAGGTCGCTGTGAAGCGGTAGACTTTCTTGATGCATTGGTATCTGATCGAGATGGAGTAACAATTCGGGCTTTCGAAACGTCTGGAATAGCACCTTCATCGACTCCATCAGATATTAACTGCAAGCGATCCAATTGACTGATGCACATAAGAATATCTCGCCACGACCCTTTCAAAAGATTACCCTCAGTTTGTGCAATTTCAAGGAGAACCTTTAATGCCTCGACATTCTTGGCCATCATATCCCTCGGATTGTTGAGATTAGTGGAGTTCTTGAGAGCAGAAACGAAAGCTTCACGTGGAGTTTCAAGATCGAAAAGACAAGCAATGCGGATCGCTAATTTCATGCCTTCGATGCATAACTTGATGATCTCAATATTGTGCGAATTCTGCATTTGACCAGAGAGCCCGGAGAAAAAAGACATCCAAGTTACCTCAAACATCGGACCGACGTGCTTGAATGAAGTAGCGGGGATGAATTTATCTCCGGATTTGGATGCATTCTTTCGTTGATTTCGGAAAAGGTTCTTGAATAGTTGTTCTGATCTATGCGAAATCTCCTCGGATTGTTGTAAGTAGGCTTCACGCTGCAAATCACGTCCAACTGTCGCCAAAGCTTGCCCAAGACCGGCCGCAATACCACCGCCAGACTGTGGAGGAACATTACCCGTGGCTGCCGCAGCTTCCCGCTCACTGTTGAGTACGATCTCTTCGTTCTGAATCTCTTCGTAGATGCCGATAAGATATTCATCAGGTAAGTTCGCATTATCGTTGATACCACGATTGTTTTTGATGAAATCTTCCTTGGTCATTCTTTTGGCAACTTTAGTGCTGTGTTGATCAGTGTTCAACATGATGACAGAGTAGGCCAAGACGTAGGCGGTATCTGCATTGGCGAATGCGTTTGGATTGCCAACAACATAACGGTTTGCAAACTTCAACATAAAACGATCAATCTTCTGGGCCTCACCAGGAAGACGAAAAGATTGTAAAAATTGACGTAGAGCATCCACGAATCGACGTTTAGTGAAGTCCATAGCATCCACAAATGCGTGCATGATTGCAATGTTACGTTCCTCTCCTTCACCCAAAAACTCTCCAATTTGTGATTTATCCAACCTATCTTCGCGAAGTAAGAATTGCGCGATACATTCCGGCGTGTCTTCCGCTATGAACTTATCGGCAAGTAAAAGCTTTATGCCCTTTTTTGGTTTGAAGTTAAATTGTTTGATGGCATTTGTCATTGCAGTCTTTCTCTGCTTCTCCTTCTCCAGATGTTCGGGGTCATCATCTATGATAGGGGTTGAAGGCATTGGTGTATTTTCACCAGTAATTCTTGACGAGCTATCGTTCCCAGGCTCCAAGGACTCTCTAACATCAGCGGAAGCTCTAATGTCGCTTTCCGGACCACTAGTAACATCAGCAATCCCTTGCTGTGACCAGTTGACCAGCGATCTTAGCGTCTCCACAAGACAATCCATAGCTTGCCGTTTCACAATATACTCTTTGGGAATTTCTGCTTCCCCGTTTTCGGTATTGCTACTCAAATGTGCTGTGGATAGCGGTGGGGGAAAAGTGCCTCGAGCTTGCCAATCCCCACCCGAGGTTTTACTATTCTTCTCTTCGTATTGCTGCTGGGCAAGAGGGCTTACCATGACAGCAGCGCTCGCTGCCTTGGATAAGTCTTCAATTAAGGTCTGGAACATATTATCAACATTCCGATCGCAATCATAATTCAGATATGTCTCTACAAGCGCACGAGGATCCCCGCAAAATCGGTGGAGGATGCCCATGAAATGTAGCTTTTGAAAAGCATGCGCATTTCGTCTTTCTAGGAGTGCCAGATATATCTCATTCAAAAAAACTTCAATTTCTTTCTGTAAAAAGTCAGTCAAATGGTCATGGAAATCCATTGATTCATAAAAACCTTAAACGGGGCTCTCATGAATTTTAGCATCAGCCAGAAAATTTCACAACAAATTTCGAAGACTCGTTCAGCAGAGCTTGCGCCATTGCGAGTTATGCTAAGACATAGGTAGAATTTAATAGCTTGTAGGAAACCAGTGGGCTCGTTGCTTTTGCTGTTGGTAATCGTACACAATGGAGAAGTGAAGACGAGCATATTATTATTGAGCAACATGTGAATGAGGTGGAGAGAGATTAACTTTGAGCGCATGGCTTGGCCTTTTACATCGAATAATTGATCCGGTGGAAGAATTTTGGTACTAAGATTGCAAAACGATCTGAAGACCAAATATGCATCCCTTATATAAACCTCATCTTCCATATCCTCGGATTCTATACTATCATCAGTACCACTGTCTGGGGCAGTTTGTTCCGATACGGATCGAGGTGAGGCTTTCGCGGGCTTTACTTGTGTCACCATGGTTGGCCCTTCTCCCATCTGCGAATCGTCGAAACTCTTTCGATGCTCGAGGTCTTTGAGTGTGAGTTTTGGCGCATCTCCATTCGAGGGTTCTTCCGCCGTCGCAGATTCATCCGCTACCTCTTCTCCCACACTACTTTCAGGCACGTCATTTAATGACTCTTGGGCATCGACCGTGAATGAACTAGTATTTTCGGGATTTTTGTCCAATTTCAAAAGGTTCAATCTGGCCTCCTTCATATGTATCCTTGTCTTCACTCTTTCGAAAACAGTTCCAACCATCTGTGTCAACGTCCCTTGCGCGACTTGTTGATTCGGACTACTTTTTGAAAGTAGGAAGACATTGTAAACTTGTCGCACTGCCTTCAATAATCCCGCCCCGTGAACCACAATTTTATCATTTAAAACCGCTGCCAATAAAGATTTTACAATCTGCAATTGAATTTCGACCGGCGTAGTCTCTCCTTGAAAGCAATCGCATATCGTATCTATCGCTCGTTCGATCAATGGCGCACGATCGGCCTCTCTGTCTGCGTTTGGCGATGAAGGAACAGAGAAGTAAGAATAGCTAATAAGCTTTCCAATACAATCCAACGCAGTCGTAGTTAATGGAATACTTCCGGATCGTGTGGCTTGTTGTAATGGATCGAATATGATTTCGGGGTCAGGTAATTGAGGCTCATGTTCTTTAATATCCTTCAACGCCTTCTCGACTGATTCTCCCAATCCCTTTCTTTTTTGAGCCTCTTTTGAATTATGTATAGCTTCCAGAGCTGAAACCACAAAAACGATGGAGCTCATGGTGGTCGATCGATTGCGCCAACTTCCATCCGTAGTAATAGGTATCCTATTCTTTAAAAAGAAAGAAGGAGAGAATGTCTAAGAGGCGTTTATTGTGAGACTCTAGATAAAATCATGAAATTAATAATTCTTTAATATTTGAATTTGGATTTGAATTTGGGATTTGAGGGGGAAGAAAACGGGTCATAGGTAATTAATTCCCTAATTCCTTTTCCCGATGAACCCTTCCTTAGCTGCCACTATGCCACATATCTGGTCCGGCCATCCATTCAATTATGGATCCGACAATCCCTAACTTTAAAATCCATTGAAGCGCTTATCAGCCAATCAAAACTCTGTATGAGTTCGACGGCGTTTAGATACCAATAGGACTCTTTCTGGTGGAATTTTATGCGTCTAATCTTATACTATTCTACTTTTGTACTAATCCTTCAAAGCTCCGGCCTCCTAACGGAACTCAACCTACGAGCTTTTCCGATATTCAACAGAACAATTTAAATCTGGGTTTTTGTCGCGAATAACTTCCTCCCACTCCCACTCCACCCCAATTATTACCTCCCACCTTCCGCCCCCCAATCCTACAACTCGGGTTCTAACTATCCAAAGTATTCTACTATCTGGGTACGGATTTGGATTCTTTTCACTCTTTTCAAGTGCTTTCATTCTTCTTTCCCTCTAGATATCCTCACCAAGATGTTTTCCGCAGTGTTGAGAAGGCGTGCCCTTCAATCATCATCTCTGCCATACCAATTAGCAAGATGTCATGCTTCGAAATCATTTCCTCCTCATACCGTGGTCACTATGCCAGCTCTATCGCCAACAATGACTGCAGGTAACATTGGATCATGGCAAAAGAAGCCTGGAGATTCAATTGTCCCTGGTGATGTCTTGGTAGAGATTGAGACTGATAAGGCGCAAATGGACTTTGAGTTCCAAGAAGAGGGTGTTTTGGCTGCCATTCTGAAGCAGTCTGGTGAGAAGGATGTTGCTGTTGGAAATGTTTGTACTACTTTATTCAAGCTGAAGAAAGGGAGAGTGCTGACGGAACAATAGCCAATTGCTGTCATGGTTGAAGAGGGAGGGGATGTATCGGCTTTCGCGGACTTCACACTCGCAGATGCTGGAGGAGAGAAGGCAGCGCCAGCACCACCAAAGGAGGAAGCCAGCCAATCTTCCGAGACATCTGACACAAAATCTGGAACTGCTCCCCCGCCTCCAGCTGAATCGACTCCAGCCCCAGAGGAATCCGCATCGAGTGGTGGAAGATTACAACCTGCTATGGATAGAGCAATTAATGCTAGCTCTACGGCTATCAAATTGGCACTTGATACCGGTGTTAAGCTTACTGGTGTTAAGGGTACTGGACTCGGTGGACAAATTACTGAGGCGGATGTTAAGAAGGCTTCCTCCGGAGCTTCCACCGGCAGCGCGCCAGCAGCTGCTACATCCACTTATGTTGATACCCCAATCACATCCATGCGTAAGACCATTGCCAACCGTCTTACCGAATCTGTGAACCAAAACCCACACTACTTTGTCGCGTCCACCGTTTCCGTCACCAAGCTCATCAAGCTCCGCGCAGCTCTCAACGCCTCTGGAGAAGGAAAATACAAGCTCTCAATCAACGATTTCTTAATCAAGGCTTGTGCTATTGCATGCAAGAAGGTCCCAGCTGTTAACTCCAGCTGGAGAGACGGTTTCATCCGCCAATTCAGCAATGTTGATGTTAGCGTAAGTTTTCCTTTCCTTCTCTCAACTCATTTAATTTACTAAACCTCTACTTAGGTTGCTGTTGCCACCCCAGTTGGTCTTATGACACCAATTGTCAAGAACGTCGAAGGTCTCGGTCTCGAATCCATCTCAGCACAAGTCAAGGATCTTGGTAAGCGTGCCCGTGATGGCAAACTCAAGCCAGATGAATACCAAGGTGGAACCTTCACAATCAGCAACATGGGAATGAACAGCGCCATCGACCGATTCACCGCTGTTATTAACCCACCACAAGCAGCCATCCTCGCCGTAGGAACCACTCAAAAGGCAGCTATCCAAGGAGCAGACGGAGGAATCGAATGGGATGATCAAATCACCGTTACTGGGAGCTTCGACCACAAGGTCGTAGATGGTGCCGTTGGTGGTGAATGGATGAAGGAGTTCAAGAAGGTTGTAGAGAACCCCTTGGAGTTACTGCTATAAGAAATGATGTGACATGATATGAATTCGGAGGCTAGAGCTAGGTTTACACCAGGTTGAGAATGATCAGGGTGCTTAGTTGATGTGTAGGCTGATGATACCGATGAAAGAAAGAAGAAAAGAGATTCCCCATGTAACTCCTTGTACAATCAAATCAACGATTCCTCGTATCATGCTTCCTCTCTGAAAACATGATATCATAGATTTATCCTGAGTGTAGTTGAGATATCTACATACAAAATATCCGACAAACCGCTCCTACATGCACTTATATATACCCTGCACTCGCCCTCGTTCTCTTAAAAATACACATATCAACCTCATCGCATTCTTTCTTCTACCCTACTCTATGTATACTTAAATCATCTCATATTTCCTCAATTTCATTCTAGTTTCATTTGTCTTTCCATTTGCCTTTAGACACTCAAATACACAGTCAGATAGACATATAAACATAAACAAATAAAATATAATAATGAATCCGAATCCGAAATCGAAATTGATTCCTAATCCTAATCCTAATCCTAATCCTAGTCCCAATGCACAACTAGCACTTAAAAACAGCTAACTATTTACGTTCCTAGAAACATGGGCTCCGAAAACCGCCTGCCTATGACTTGGTTGCTTGCTTAATTGCTTTGGTACTTTCATACTTCCTCCCTTAACGTCATCATGTAAGAGAAGACAAACGAAACAGACACCGTCCATACTCCACGCTACCCAAGCCAGCCCATTCCATATGTCCAACGCCTAGCAATGCAATCCAAACCGGTATGTAAGTAAGTATATAACTAAGTGCGGTGCGTGCACGAGCATTCCCGCTTTCCCTTCTACTCCAAGTAAAGCACATAATCGTTAATATCCTATCGATCACTCCACTCGCTTCTATACTTCGTCATTTTATCTCCCTAATCCCAAAACACCCGAATTCCCACCCCCTTCCATCTCTCTCCTGTAGACGCCCTCAAAATCCAATTGTTCGATCATCCCATTAACGCTATCAATCTCCCTCTGCATATCAGTCAAATTAGTTCTTAAAGCCTCTACTTCATCAAATTTTCTTCTCTTCCCTGCATCGGCTACCATTTCCTGAACGAAGAATTTTTGTTCTTCCAACACTATTAATCTTTCTCTCAATTCCTTTTCTTCTTGTTCCATTTGGGATATTTGGCTCATATCCGAGATCTGTGATGAAGTTTCTGTAGTCGTGTCGTTGTATTTGATATTTGCAAGAGCGGAGCGTCCGTTCTGGGGTCGGAGGGATGAATGACTAGAGGAAGGTGTGGCATGTTTCAGGACTTTGGGAAGGGATTTGAGGGGTAGCATGTGGAGATGAAGAAAGCTAGAAGATTGCTGGTAGATAGCCTTTTGAATTTTTTGTTGAGTGGGTGAGGTTGTTGGCAAGTCACGTATGCGTCTTCCAGCTTGATCATATTTTCCAAAACTATCTATTAATCTCTTTCGAACCTTGGCTGCTTCAGCAATTTGGGCATGTGAAGGAGGTTTGTCTGGATCTTGGAGCGCAACTAATAGACGCTGGAAATTGGGTAGCAGTAAACGAATACCTTTCTCAAATTGTACGAGGTTTTCATAAGCCCGCTGTGACGGTGTCTTCTCCATGAGTTCAGCTGCAAAGTCTTTCTTAGAAAAGATCGTCGTTTTGCAGTCGCGACACATCCGAATATCGAGACTAACATTCTCCCTATGTTTTTCTGATTGGACATCAGTGACTGGAATATGTCAACGAATGACACTGAATATGTTGGAAACTTTCAAAACTTACTTGCTGTGACATTCAACCCAATTTCGGACGAACATCCAGTTCTAGGATCTGAACAGACAACCCGTCCACATAACCGACAGTGATGACGCCGAAATGACCACGAACCAAATTCTTGTTGGCAAAAAGGACATTTTGGAACCTTTGCATCTTCTTCCCAGGTTACCACTGATTGCTCCAGTATTTTGCGTGGATTCTTTTGCCCTGCTAGAGATAACAAGGTTCCATTGCTAACCATGTCTTCGTGTGGATTCGCAAGCAATTGTGTCAATTTACTTAGTCGTTTTTCCAATCTCGAGATTTCCAGATAAGCCTTATCCACATGCTTCCTTCGCATTGCCATGAAGTCGTTCGTCTGATCTCGAAAGAACCCGTTATGATCATTATATCCCTCTCTTGACTTGAAACAAGTCTCGCAAACCCTACACCATAATCCCCGCACAGGTTCATGTTGTGCCGACCTCGAGAGTTTAATTTGGTACATGGTGTGGTCCTCACAGAATAGACGGCCGCATTTCCTACAATTAACACTTCCATTGACTGCACCAAGTCTTTTCCCGCATATTGGTTCCGTGCATATGTCATTGAATCCAGATTTCTGCCAATGTGTTCTTGTGATTACTTCGTCAGGATCTGGTCGGACTGACTCGGGCGTTGAGATGCGATTTCCAGAAAGAGTATTTGGTATTGGATTCGAGGATGTTGGTGCATCATTGGATTCGAAAACGTCTAATCCCTTGAGTTTCTGGTTTATCACTGCTAATGGTTGAAACTTCTTCGCCTTTATAACCTGCTTGTCGAACCAATTCTTCACCTCATCCTGTTCTAGTTCCGGAAGTTCTTGGTGGTTATCATCGAGATGTCTGTCAAGAGTGAGTTTCTTTTCGGATTTTCGAGATGCAGAAAGCATACCTATTGAGTTGCAATAAAGTCATCTGCCAGGCATTAGTTTGCAGAATATTGTAATAGATAAAAGATTACCTACCATTTCTTCGCTGCATATTGGGCATAGGAGCTTCGAGCCCGTAGCGGTGACACCTGAGGAGCGACCATTTTCCAGCGAAACTCTCGAACTTAAATCTTGGCTATCGTTTGGTAAAGGCGAAGTTGCTAAAGGAGATGTTGAATGACTCGAACTCAATGAAAGAGTACTTTCTGATGGAGTGATGAAACTAGAATTTCGTTGTTGCGCTGGAGGGGCAGGAGGTGCCAATGACTTTCCGGTACCCAAAATTCTTCCACCTCCCAGTTTTCGACCAGACATGACTGGAGATATATCGAAATTATGAGGAATTATACCTCAGAATCTCAGCAGCTCAAGACATTGATTTATTGAAACTTTTCCTGCCCTTGAGACTTTCCATCCATTCGCCTTGTTCATTCTGTGACGGTGGTTTCGAATATCCTGAGTAAGGTTAAGCGAAGCTGTGCCTTATCAGTGACCTACGGAGGAGTTATACCACCGGTGTATTGAATTCCATTTGCTTATCGCGATATGTCACCAAGGATTTACATTCATAATAAAGCACCGAACAATCTCCAATAAAGAATTGGCAATTATGCACATCATTTATTACTTCAATATCAATACAAATGGGTGAAGAAAATTTTCCTGAAGTCGAGGGTGGCGGTTCATTGATACTGGCATGGCAAATCAAGAATAAAAGAGTATTAGTAGTTGGAGGCGGAGAGGTGAAAGAGTCTTTCCAATATCAATCATTCTTCAGTACTAATAGTTCTTTTTTCAAAGGTCGCAGCAGGTCGGATTTTGAACGTGTTGAATGCGGATGCAAAGGTTACCGTCGTATCACCTCGAGCAGGCCTAAACCCAGAAGTTGCATATCGAGTAGAAAAGGGGCAAGTAGATTTTGTGGATAGGAAGTTCCAACCTTCCGACCTCGATAATGTCGACATGGTTTTGACTGCTGTTGATGACCCGGAAGCATCTTCACAGATCTGGAAGTTATGCAAAGAAAGGAAAATAGCAGCGAATATCGCAGATGTGCCACCCGAGTGTGACTTCTATTTTGGAAGTGTTCATCGAGATGGACCTCTACAAATCATGGTTAGCACGAATGGGAAAGGTCCACGATTTGCCAATATTGTAAGGAGGCAAATAGCTTCAAATTTGCCAAACAATATTGGTGAAGGGATAGAAAAAATTGGAAAGTTAAGGCAAATGCTCAGGAAGGTCGCACCAGGACCGGAAGAAGGGCCAAAGAGGATGTCATGGTAAGCACTTTTGGAGATCGACATTGACTTTATACTTATATCAAGTAGGATGATCAGAGTCAGTGACGCTTACAGTCTTGAGGACCTACATGAAATGAACGAAGAAGATATGGAAATACTACTTAGATTTTACGCTCCCAATCAAGTTCCACGATTCCAATGTTTACAGAAAATGAAAGATAAGTCGTGGGACGTGGGTTGTCTACGGCCACTAGAAGACGAGGAAGCGGCTTTCGATGGCTCCTGGGGATTTTCTGTAGGATGGGCTTGATAGACGGGTCGACTGTGTAACAACGTCAAATTATTGCCATTTTTAGTTCTTTTTGGAGACATCCGAGGCGAGGAGCTCCTGGTAGGCACTTCTCGGAGCTTCCTTGGAAATGATGTACGTTTCCGATTGATTGTTTCAAACGAAACAGCTGGCCATGACACTAAAAGGTTAATTATTTTAAGACAGAAGTTCTGGAATTCTACTCCATCACCTCACCCATTCTCATTTTTGCCTTTCCCTTGGCTGCGATGCTTCAATGGAGTCTGTCCAACACTCGGCCATAAGCAACTTCGTCCGGCCAAGCTCTGATTGTGTATGTGCATTTCTGATTCTCTTTGCCCGAGTTATGTCACAAGCCCAAATGTGTCTACAACTGCCGTCTGATTTTTGGTTATGCATAATATTACTCGAGCTGCTACGTTTTTCATCTCATTATTTGTCCTCTCTCCCCCTTTTTTGGTTTCTGCGCATTTCTCTTTCTGCGATTCACCATAAACTGAACACCAGTTCAAGTAAGGTACGATAGATCATCACAATTGATGGTTCGATCGTATCAGCTAAAAGATATGTTCCGGGTTTCTCATGCACGTTAGAGAATCATTATCAGATCAGACCAAGTACCGATAGATCTTCTCAAATAAGTTGCATGTAACCCTGAGTAATTCAAGCTTTGTGTTTCTGTTATGACCCTGACCCGACGGGAAAGTTGTCAGAACCAAGGCTACTCAAATTGGGAATGTGAAGGCCAAAACCTAATGCATACTTCTCGATGATCGGCCGCCTTGTGAGTATCGTACACTAGGTAGTTTCGTCGAATTCTGTGAGGCTAAACAGGCATGCTTGATGTTTGGGGTCAATCGCTAGGTTGGTACCTAATAGCACTCGTCGATATTCCTGATTACTTCCCTAAATCACGTCCGGGCTATGGCAAGCTTCTGAATTGGTTTGTTACTGCTTCGGCAGGCGTAATTGTTGCACAGGATACAACAGGTGGTTGGTGGTTGTTAATGAACGAACCATACCCAGGGAAATTCGTGAACATATTGAGTCTAGCGCTTCATCAATGTTCGTCTACTCAATCTTGCAAGGTGTCAGGAAGGGATATTTAGGAAATCAATGAATGTATGGCTCCTATGGAAAATGGATATGAATGTATTGCCGAGAAGTTCGTGAAGTTTAATAGGACGAATGTGACGGTCGATTGGAAGGGCATGGTTTCGGTCGGTAGTCTCGGATCGAATGCTTCGTTTGAGGTTTGTGTAACGGATGAATATTTTTTTCCGACTTTTTGACTAACAATTGGGCAGTATTTTACTCGATTGTGACAGGTGGAAATGGTATGAAGGATTCTGGGCCGTTTATCTATGCTTGTGTTGAGTATGAGAGATTCGCACCATGGTGATGGAATGAATAATTGGCAGTCTGGGAGATCGGAACACTAAGGGGAAAGTAGCATCATGCATATATAGAATTCCTAGCAATCCTAACGATCAAAACATTCTCTTAAATTTCGCTGCCTTGGCTGGATTTCCAAAGGAAAATGAGAAATGGCTTAGAGACATCTTCGCTCTTTAATAGTTCTTGAAGGTTTGATTTTACATGGGCAAATTGACTCTCGACTTCCTCGCCTTTAGACAGGATTGCCTGTAACATTGATGTATCTATATATGAGCGATATTTGAGCCGTTTTATCTGGTCCAAAGAGGGGTGATTATTCATTCTAACATGTGATTCGCATGTGACATATTTAACTTTGCAGAACGCCATACTCTCCTGCCTACCAAGCCGCATCTACAAGTTTGCCTGCAAATGTTTCTCCTTTGGAAACGTGCTCAAATCATACCCGTTTCCCTTCTCTATAGACCTCTTCCAAGCAGGCCTCTCGTAACACCTATCCAGCCACTCATTCAAAGTCGGAAATTCCGTCGCCAAATCCACCCATCCCCTCTGTCTAATCATCGCCAACGGAAACTCCGCCATAATATCCGCTCGTCCAGGATGCCTCCCCATAAAATATCCCCCCTCAGGACCACTCTTTAACTCCTTCTCTAAATCTCCCAATGTCTTCCTCAAAGCCGGTCCATCAAACATTTTTCCCCCAGCTCCAGGTCCGTTACATAGAGACTGAAAATCAAGCATAAGCATCACAGTGGATGCAAATACTAGCTCGGTGAGTAGCATACTGATGAGCATTTCATCACGTACCCAATCTCCATCACGAAGTCCGAATTTGTCGGAATTGTCGAAGGTGCGGATGAGATAGGTGGCGATGGCGAGGGATTCCGGGATGTAGCGATGGTTGTCCCCGGCGCCGGTTACGAGGAGTGGGGCTTTGCCTTTGGGGCCGAGGGAGGAGAGGGAGGGGGGTGAGTAGAATGGAGCTGTGGGGTGAGAGGCGGGGTTGCGTTCGTGAAGTTGGAGGGTGTAGGGGATAGAGAGTTCTTCGAGGAGCCAGAAGATTCGTTGGGATTGGGAGTTCTGATAGCTGATTAGTTTTCAGGAGATATGGATGGAATGGAATGAATGGTGAAGTGCGGAATTTACATTGAGATGGTGGAATGTGGGAGTATTGTCTGCCATGTTGACTATTTAAGGTTTAATATTATGGATGGGATGTGTTGGGTGGAAGCAGAATGAAATAATATAATCTTAAGCGAGACTGGGATATAGAATATAGTAGTATTGAGATGTACCACTTGCAAAAAAACACAGAACTTTACTCAAAATCAACTCGCCTTATATATTTAGATCAAAAAAGCCGATGACTTCATTCCACTGCAAATATAGAAACTTTGAAAAGAACCCACCAGGTTCGGCTAAGAAGAGAGGGGCCTCGGGATTTGACTGATTGGTGGTGAGCAGTCGATCGGGGAAATTTTGGTTCCGGATATGAAAAAAAACCAACCATTATTCAGATGTGGAATTCCGAACAGATTAATTTTTGTCAGATTCATGGAGATTTGGGATCTGGCCGGTGATCGCGAGGTGGTACTTTGTAATATTGCTTAGAAACCGACACAGTCACGTTAGAATTATAGTAGAATTATGCGGGGAAGGCAGTAGAAGATACGTTGTGTTTAATAATGAAATTGATATTTTTGGGTGTCTTTTTAATGTTTTTCGTTCTAGACATCAAATGGAAGAGAGAACGGAGAAAGAGCTAAAAGGAAAAGGAAATTAAATACGTAATGAATATAATTATATATTCAAAATAAAAAGAATTGATGTAATGAAATGTTATTGTATGTATACGACGTGATATTTCATCGGATCAAGCTCGTGGTTCATATAGAATTTGCTTCTTAACAGCATCAATCATTAATTATATCCTAAGTTGCGCTTATGACCTAGAGGCTAAGGAGAGCTTTTCTCCATGGCTAATCCAAAATCAGTCTCAACGGAAGTAAACCAAAACACTTCAACCCCCCAGATTCCCAGCGCTCCACCAATCATCCACGTTCCCCAACCCATCACCCCTCTGATGAAAAAAGCTTTCCGCCAAAACCGCCAATTCATCATCAGAGTAATGAAATGGTGCTTGAAAAAACTCTTGGTCTTGTCCCACCATCCCATTTTCCCCCAAATTCACCACACTTGCATTTACCGAACTGGGACCGGAACCCTCAAAATCCTGCCTGTCGACTCTAGTTGGTTCTGGTAATGATGACGCATGGCTTATTTCATGAGTGGCAGGTAGTGAAGCTGAATATAATGATGGTCCGAAAAGACGACGGGCCGACGTGGGTATTTCACTCGATGAAGAGTACTCCAAGATCTCCCAGAACTGACCTAGATCGATGAGAAGACTGCGATTAGGGGTCTGAGGGGGTGCATCAGGATTTGTATAGGTGGATGAAACCGTATCACAAAGTCGTTGAAGCTTTTCCGCCTATTATATCGTTAATAATCAATACAGTCTTCAAGGGAATTTGTCTAACCATTCGAGCAACATGGGGCCACTCTTTAAAATCCCGAATGAATCTTAGACACTTGTCAAAATTGTCACGCTTCTCCTGTCTTACAACTGGGTCTTCGGCAAAACATTCCTGTAAATATATTGTTGCAATGATCGCTACACAGTGGGCCAGAAAAGGATCAGAAACTTTGAAGGATTTCACTTCCAGCATATCGATATATCTAATGACCCAGCTAGCATGTGACGAAATCAAATCTGAAATATGCTGTAAGAAGATTTCAGGGATGGCTGATTTGATGTTTTTCAGTCGAAGTGATAATAAAAGCGGGTTGTTTAGGAGGCAAAGATTCGTGTGATACAAGAATTGAATGAATAACCAAGGACCCCAATAATCTCGATTAGCATGCAGATCTTCGCTTGATCTTTGAGAGAATTTGGCCGATTTAAAGCGATGAATTTGTGAAGTACGAGTCTCAAAGTCCATTTGTTGAGCCATGATTAATGCGTAATCTGACTGAGGAGACCATGGCGGTAAAGTACTTGGGTTTCCGCGTCTCCTTGCGTAACGGGTGATCTTGAACCAAACTGAGCTGAGCTGAATTGCGTATGCAACGACACCTTTGTCTTGAGTATCAGGTGTAGCAAACTCCGGTGACGATAGGTCCGGGGTTTCTCCGCTGGTAAACTGTCCAGGATTTACTGGTTTCCCAGTTGTTTCCGGATACCACGGAAAATTGTCATCAGCTGCAAAATCGATGACGCTAAATTCGGCGCCGTGTAGTCTTTTGAGAAGGAATAAACTCCAAAAGCATCGCCGACGCTCTTCACGAAGCAACTCAGATAAAGGGGCGTGGCTCTCTGTTGTGAGACCTGCATTGTGGGCTAAACTCATAGCTAGACTACTGTGTACGCTTGCTTGTCGTGTATTTCCATCTAAGACTATTAGCAGCGCTCCAGTTTCGGATTAGTAGCACAAACTAGTGAAGTCTACTAGACTAAGAAGGCACAAAGACTGCAACGTAGAAAGTTCTACTCGACCTCCGAATATCCTGCCTGAGATAATCGATCGAGCTGCCTCTACATATCCCGCAACAAGCTCGGATTGATTATCACGGAAAATCTCATCGTCTGAAAATCGTATCGCCAAAGCTAGGATCGAGAAAATCACCTCTGGATCACGTTCATTGAGTGTTTCAACAAATCTGTTTCGACAGAATACAGGAAGCGGCTGACAATCGCAATAAAGCAAGTAAGTCTTCGCAATACTTATGATCGCCTCATATGGTGGCAGCTTGCTTTATCCTGATTAGTATCATAATTCAAACAATTGCATGTAAATTCCTCACCTACTCGAAAGTCTAAAAACACTCGGGGTCCTCATTGTCTGTCCCAATTGTGACAGAACAGGAGAATTCGAAATATGCCTTGATGCACTCCTGCTCATTGACACTTGATTTGCGAGAACTTCTGCAAGTTGAGCTTCGAGTGATTTTAATCTATCTTCCTGGTAAATGTCATAAGCACCAGTGTTCACACTGCCAGTGTGCAGTCTTTCACTTACCAAATTAACGTCACTAGAAGACCTCACGTGGGCTGTTTCCTGTGCTCGACTGGGTGTCGGCATTGGGGTTCTCTCAATTGAGGTTCTCCCGTTCGCATGATTGGATCCGTCATTAGCATAATAACAATTTTGTCTCAATCTCGCACAGTGCGAGCATACTGGCTTCTCGCCTGGACATCTCGTTTTCTTGCGCCTGGTCACCGTTATTTATCAGTCCACGCAATATAGAACCGTTCCAATTCTTCAATCCCCATTTCTTATGGCCGCTGTTTCCCCATTCCATAATTATTACGTACCGACACGGCTCACATGCTTGGCGAACACGTTTTGCTGGGCGTTCTGACATTGAAGCACTTTTGATGAAATGTGCAAAAAGATGGAGGTCGTCGAGGAAACATATTGTTGGTGTTCGGATAGAATTGTGAGTGGGATTCAACTGAATAAAGAGGTCACTACGGCCGCCATCGTTTAGCAAGGATCACATTGGCCAATTAGATTACTACAATTCCTGATATTTGAAGAGAAATTCATGTTTATTTGATGATATAAAATAAAACCAATGTTAATACAATTTTTAAATTTAATGAATATCAATTTAAATTCATTTTATTATAATCCTCTTTTGATTATTTTAAAATATTTAAATATTAAACTCAAAATAGAATTACAAAAGAAACATCTTTAAAAAGTTCTGAAAGATCCTTTTGACCAATCAGAGCTTATCATTCAAGGTATATTGCACGGACCATCATGGCGGCCATTGTTGGCATTCTAGGAGATACCTCCGTAGTAGTCATCGATATGCCGGGAAGAAAACTGGGAAGAAGCGGGAATTTCCGACGGCATAACGGAATGAGAACGGGTTGTGCTGGATACGATGTATGATCTGTATGGCAAGGTGCTTATACTCCTTTAAGAGAGAGTTCCAGTAATGTAAATATCATAAAATTCTAAACAAGGCTAAATATTGGCAAATAGTACAAAGTAGGATATCCAAAAATCAAAAGTACTCCTTAATGTGCTCCTCAAAAACTGCAAACCGCATAAGTTTACAAGCTGGCCCTCATTTCCAACTCTGGCTGTACACCCTGAACTGTCCTCTCAATATCCAAATACATATCGTATTCATTCATCTCCTCGATCGTCAATTTTTTCTTCTCATCCAATACTTTGTAGTTTGGGTTGGTAGTATTCGATGAAAATCCAATGCGTTCGTTGATATTCACCCTGGCACGAGCACTAGCCGCTTGTACCTGAGAAGCTCTAGGTTTACGAATTTGCTCGTATAACTTTAGACCATCGTTGATGCTGGCTTTCGAATTTGCAAATTCGTATTTCTGCCCGAAAATTATACCCAGCGCAGCAGCGTCTTCCAAAGCCTGACATGCCCCTTGACTTTGGTCAGGAAGCATAGGGTGCGCTGCATCACCAAGGATACAAGTAGACCCCTTTTGCCAATGTGGATATGGTTGATGAACAAATAATCTCCATGGTTTCACGTCGGTTGAATTCTTGAATAATGCAAGAAGCTCGGGGTCGAGGTCCGGAAATGGTCTAAGGATATCCTCAACGGTAAGGTTGATATTCCAGCCTTCACCGGCATGAGGACTTTCATTTGTCGGAAAAAAACAGTAGAATGAGTGGACCTCTCCGTCTCGGCACGGTGAGAACACAATCTTGTGAATGCCTTGTCCCCCCCAAAACTCAATGGCATTATTCGGCGATAGATCTTTGAGTCCTAATCTTCTCGCATCTTTTGTCTCGATAATGCAGTGCAAGCATGTAGATGTAGATAATTGTCGATCTGGCACAATTCCCAAAGTCTTTCGTACTTGTGACCCAATTCCATCTGCTCCAATAATTAGATCATGTTTGGCTTGCACACCATTCTCAAAAGTCGCAACGCCCTGTTCATGATCGATTTCTGCGCATTTGTAATTGCACTTTAAGATTGCTGGTATACCCGTATGGCTCTGTCCTGTAGCTGAGTCCATCAACATCTCATGCATGTTGACTCGGTGGAACATGTTATAAACGTATCCCCATCTAGCCTTGTAATCGGCTAAATCGTATACATTTTGTACCTCCCCCGTTTTCCAATCATGCGATATCAGCTTTTCTAATACCACTGGTCGCCCGATTGGAATATTAACGCCCCATTCTTCAAGCCACTTCGTACCATTTGCCGCGCATGATATAGAAGCACCAACTTCTCCAGCGAAATCCGCTCGTTCATATATTGTGACTCGGTGGCCGGCTTGTCGTAAACTTGTGGCAGCAGCAAGACCACCTTTACCACCAGACTGATTAGCTTTTCATGGACGACTGCAAAGGCGATAAATGCTTACCTATTCCGCCACCAATGACACCGACATCCAATTCTCTCCACATATTGCCCAACTCTTATAATTGAAAGATTATTGAAATCGATGTAGGATCTCAACATCAGTTGTGCACTTTAAAATATGTACTATGTATGAAAACGGTTGAGATAATGAAGACTTGTTTTGACAAACAATAAACTATAGAGTGTTTACCTGCACACTTTTTATAACTTCTTTATCGCATCACCTTTCATTCTTACCTTCGATGGATACAACTCCGAGGTAGTCAAACGTCTAATCTGCGACATCGTCGTCCCATCCGTTCGACCCCTCATTTGATTATCATCGAGATAGGAATGATTCGCAGATACATCTAAGACTGAAAAGTTTCCGTATCCGCCTCCGAGAGTTCTTGAAGATGGGGATGAACGTAGCTCTTGGCCAAAGAAGGTTTCAGGGTCAACTGAGCATTCTAGCCTAATTAGGTCACCGCTTTGAAGAGGGCCAGGGACTTAACGAAACACATTTCTACATCAAAAATCTAAAACAATTTAATTCAATCATTATATATTACTTTAAAACTTCTCAATGTATTATATTTTATAAAATAATTAATATAATATTATTATTTTTTTCAAATAATTTTATTTAATTTAAATTTATATTAAAAATTGAATATAATAAAATTATTACAAATACTTTTAAAATATGAATTATAAATATATAATTATTATAAATAATAATTCTATATTTATAATACTAGTATATAATTGATGAAATATTAAATTATCAATTTATAAAACTTTATAAAAATCTTTTATTGATATTAATATATTAAATTATATTCAATTTGAAATTACTTTTTTAATATTTCTATTAAAAAAAAATAATAAAAAGTTTTGATATTATTTTAAAACTAATTGATTTTTTGTTATATATAATTCTTACAAAAATTTAAATTTCTTTTAAAAAAATTTTTCAAAGATTTTAAATTGAAAAATAGTTTTTAAAATTTGTTTTTTTTATTTATTTAATTCTCAAATCAATTTCAAAATTTCAAAATTATAACATCTATAATTGAATTAATAAAGACTTTTGAAAAGGTTGATTTTCGATGAAGAAAAGAATCAAAGTGTTACGAGGGATGCGATCTAGATCACGTGGAAGTGGCATGGATCCTCGAATGGTTTATAACTAGGCGTCAAGCAGAGGCTTAAGATAATATCAATAGTTGCAATTCATACCTAATAATAAATTATACTAAATGATTGGTCTTGAGCACGAAGCTTTACAATAAGAAATCCTTCCTGACTATATAAATCTTCATACCTAAAAGCCATAAAGCTTTCGAACCTCCAATACTCCATTATATAATCCTGTAATTATTATGGATCCAAGCTTAACAAGGTTTGTGCACATTTGTTTCCCACACCTCAATCCCACACTAAATCGTTCAAATCGTAAGCACACGATCGGTTAGTATAAGATCCGTGGTCGTAACAGCTCGATGGAATTCTGTCGATTTGTCGCCTAATCACGTTAGGCCATTGAGTGGGCCCAGTTGGCACGTGAACCCTTCTAGACCTATTGTAATCTGATCCGCTTCCGGATCCGTTAGCTTGTAAAATTTATCCGAATTCGAAGTGAAAGTAGTTTCTGACGATGAACGCATGGAGGACGGGATGATAAGACGGATGCTATGGGGTAGACTCCGAGGATAGTGGTGTACTGAACAAAAAAATGTGCGTCAGGAAGACTACAAACTCACTATCATCGATAGTGTCAATGACAGAGTAATTATAAATAAGACTAGGATTGGGCTTTTGATATTATATAATTATAAGAGTTCTAGAAACTACTCATTATACACTAAGTTAAACATTAAGATCAGTGATTTTTTATTATTATTTTTATAAAAAACCAAGATCATTTTTTAAAATTTATATTTAATATATTCAAATAAAAGATTTTTAAAAAGATTTATTTAATATTCTTTAGTTTTTTAAATTGTATTAATAAATAAATATTTAATATAAATATTAATTATAAAAATATTAATTTTAATATTTTATTATTTATAATAAAACTTTTATATAAAATTTATTCTTATATTAAAATTTAAATTAAATATATTAATAGATTATTTATTAATTGGATTTATAATATCATTTTAAATATAGATAAAGATATCAGGCCGTGTATAATTATAGAGATATCAATTGTTGATTAGTGATTATCTTATCATTTTGTTATAAATAAAACTATAACAAAACTTTGAGTTGGTATTCTTACTAGTGATAGATATATCCGAGGTTTATCCACAAAGGTGAACAAATAACTTGTTGGCTGCACAACTTCTTATCGTGCCATACTTTTTGGTGTCATTGACAACTTTATATCATCTACAAGAAATTGTCGGTCACAATGGCTATTGCTGAAGTTCCATCACCCGATGCTGGTGAGAGTCTTTTGAGAGAGGAAGTGAGATATGCGCAAGAGCACGACTTGCAGACTTTGAGTATCTACTCCCCGAGACACAGCAGGGTTGTTGCGGATGGTGTCTCAGATCCCAATACAACATCATCATCTAAGATATGGATTATGTAAGAAACGTATCACGTGCTTGATAATCTACCATAATTCTAACTTCTTCTCCAGTTACATCCATGGAGGAGCATGGCGTGATCCACTTGTCACCTCGTCCTCTTTCGTCCCAACGATTAACCGTCTTTTGACTTCATCCATTAAATCCAAGATCGCCTCTTATGTCTCCATTGATTATCGACTTTCAGCCCATTCATCTTTCCCTCAGGATTCTTCTTCAGTCCCTAAGCATACATACCGCAATGCCAAGCACCCTGATCACTTACAAGACATCTGTTCCGCGCTGTCCTACTTACAGTCCAAATACTCTATCGAAGATCAATACCTGCTTGTGGGCCATTCGTGTGGAGCTACGCTAGCACTGCAAGTTCTAAGAGGAAAGGAGTATGCCCGTTCTTGTGGTATACTATGTGAATCTCTAAATTTCAGACTCCCACAATACTTTCTCGGAGCAGCTGGAATCTACGATTTGAGGTTACTTCGTGATACACACCCGCATCCTGCATATAATGAGTTTCTCACGGAGGCATTTGGAGGCGATGAAAAAGCCTGGGATGAGGTTTCACCAGCGAGGTTTCCGTACTTCATGGGTATCGACGGAAAGAAGAAGGTTCTTGCTTTTGCTACTTCGCCCGATGATGAGCTAGTTGATGACATGCAAATCGATGTCATGGTGAAAAGTGTGCAGAGCGTTGCTGATGGGATGGTGGTGAAGAACCTCAAAGGTATATTGAAAGGGACGCACAATAAAATATGGGAGACTGGTAATCTGGCAGTTGCAATAGAGGAGCTTTTATGCCATCTCAAATCGCCGAATAGGGACTGCAGCCTCTAATTTGACTTCGTTGAATTTAACTTGACCGAAGGATTCCATTACAATCGTTGATTAGTGGTGCATATTTGAGTGTTTTTTTCCGTCGTTTGACCATTGCCCAAAAACTGGAGTTTACAGCGGGTAGCAGAAGAACAAAGGATTAGCATCGGCACAGATCTGTCATATTGGTCGGTACGGCAGCTCGTCTTGCCAATTCTGAGAAACTGTTTGCAGGACCTGATCATGCATAATTAGCTGATTTTGTTCGACATATGGTACACGCACGGAATTAGGAACCACAAGCTACGTCACATCACTATGATCTGGTTTTGTTGATTGGGGTTCTGCAATTGTTTTGAAAACGCCACTGGGTACTCTTACCGAATAAATCTGTCCTGGTAATGTCCAAGGTCAATTGAAGTGTCTAATTCCTTGGAGAGGATATATGTTAAATTTTAAGTAGCCATCAGCATCTGGTATGCAACTCCCATTTTTCAGAATACTTATACAATACTTTCTGAAATATCCGAGTAACTGACTTTCGCTTTCTTATATCAAAATGTTCTCTTCATACTTCATTGGTGTTTTCCTGCCTATAATTACCTTTCACATATGTTCTCCGTCTCCAGCTCACTGCTGCAATTTTAATTAGATATATCGCAGCAGTATAGAATCCGATCAACTGCTATAATACCCATACCCAGACCTCATACTCTGAAGTATCCTACAATGCCTCCTGGCTAGCTGCTCAAACCGACATACTACCTGGTGTAATTGTCTCTATCAGTCTTTACAAAACGATCGAACGGTAAGGTAAATCATGGACAATAACTGTATCCGTAAGTTCATTCACCGTCAAGACCGGGATTGTATATGATGCTCCATAGGGATCTGTTAAAGATCTCATCGGCAGCGCTGTTTCGGCTAGTTTTCCTGGGTATGCGGGAATTGTCAAAAGCAAGATAGAGAAGTTCTTTTTCCCAACAGGTGGACCAACTATTATGCCAAATACACTTGTCTTGACTTTACTATTTATTTCATTCATATGTACGAGATAAGCTTGTTCCTTCTTACAGCATGATAACAGGAAGCATTCAAAGTCGGAGTCTTGAGCCTGCCTTAGAATTGAAGGCTCATCTAGCATAAGTCCCTAAAGTACTGTCATCAAGTAGTATCATCATAAACCGTCTATTCTAACGGTGTTATTAATTATATTCTCCATTGTCCAAGGTGGCTTAATTATTATAAACTTACCCCACCCCCGCGATCCCCCAGCCGGGCTTTGCTTATAAGACGGATACATCTTGATTATGAATTGTACGACTGAGACTCATAGGCATTCAAGTATTGATTGAAGAACCATAATCTGCCGAATAATCCGCCCTTCTCGTGAAATGCAGCCGGTTGCAGAAGAGCGGATTTGCACGATACTTCACAATTAAACAGGTTGCTTTGATTTGTTCGACCTCCGAGGGCTTACCACAATAGTATCTGTGTCCTTCCTGTTTACCTCCTCTTTTTGAAAAGATCTACATTAATTCAACAACACCATGCTTTTCTAGGAATCACTGACCGAGGGGAATGGTAGATGATACCACATCATAATGACAAAGAATGAACGACTGACGAGCTGGTGAACAGTATAATTACTGCCAATAGTTGTTTTATTCATCATCATCAAATGTGTGTGTACTCTTATCAAACCATACCAAGTATACCACTTTCAGTAATCTGGTAGATCAAGGCCTTTCTTAACTAGTGAAATCATCCGAGGGATGAGGTGATAATGGCTCAAAGTCTAGATGGCTTCGGAGAGGCAAGAGTACAGGACTATGGCAGTTTCCTAAATGCACGTGATGATATTTCTCTACTATCATGTTACATCAGCTTTTTCTTTGACGTTGGGGATGATTTTATAAGGGGGATTTGAGAATGCGGTGGCTGTGTTCCTGATGCGGAGTCGGTCTTAGGTGTTGGATTAGCTACCAGCTATCAGCTATCAATTTCGAGTTATATGGAAAAGTCTTCCTTGTTGGAGGGCATCCACCGTTGTGAACAATTCTATTAAAGGCTAGATTTCTTCGACTTCTCCCCAGGCCCAAACTTATCGTCCAGACAGGGCTTAAATAGAACCGACGAGCTTTATCTTTGGGACCGCTGGGCGGATTATGTGGCAGGTCCTTTGGCTTTTATTTCAATTATTCACTTCATTTTTTGCTACTATTTCCCTATTCACGTTGCCACTCTTGAAGCTTCTGAATTGATTTTATTGGTGTGCAATGAGAATATTTTTTCGTCATTTGTTCCGTCGACTAACTACCATCTCAGCATAGATTAGAAAAGTGGAAGTGATAAGTTCCTTAGCAAGTGGCTTTGCTCAGCTCTCTTCCCTCAAAAAACCACCGGCAGTAGTTCTATATCTGGAAGGAAGGGGAAAGTCTTACCTTACACTCACTACCAAGTACTCTAAGCCGTAGTTGTGCCTTTCAATACTGGCAGGAACTCCGCCGCGTCAGAATTGAAGCACCTACCTCGAAATTTACCATCGAGTTCAGGCATTTTGCTATATAAACATGATCTAAAAAACTTCCCTAGTATATTGAGAATACTGAATGCAAGTGCAAATTTATGCATTTTAACTCGGAAAGAAGAGATCTCTTATGACGTCGTCCTGTCATTTTGTACTCCTTCTCTTCCAAAATATAGTGAACGGTATATACTCGAGTATAAGACAATCCCTCGCGGGAGGAACTTAAATAGTGTAAGATTACTGAGGTCTTCAGAAGGAATAGAATATGGCAGCTGATTTTGCTTTCCTTCTTCAATCATGCCACGAGGATTGCAGCTTTGCTTGTGTATAGTGAAATTTCAAGACTTCAGAGCTCACTAATACACTAGTACGACCATCTACGACAGAACATTTTTCCAGTCAGTCAGTCAACACTGTTTGATTGCCAAACGATGACCAAATGCTATCCATCATTTGCGGCATCACTCTTCGACGACTTTTGTCGTACCGACCCTGTAGAATTTTCGTTGTCAGAGCTCACAAGTGGTTCTTGTTCGAGTCGAATAAATCATGACTATACTGGCACCTTAAAAGGGTTTTCCAGTTTTGTCTTTAGGGCTCAGGTCTAATAAATAATCCATGAATGATATTTTATATGTTTCTTTGGAAGCAATTATAGCTTACTTTGCTTCAATAAGGTTTTGCGGAGCATTTAAAGAGGACTCGCCGAGCATCGAATAAGCTTTCGAAATAGTTCCATACTCTAACATTGAGAAAACATGGATAAGCTCAATTGTATTTACGGATATCACATTAAGCCTTTCGATCCGATTCCGTGTCTAATTTTAAGCAGCCGCTCCGCCACAGATGCCCGATCGGCTGAAAGCTTTTCCATCAGCTGCAGGACATCCCGTTCATTTGTTATATGTTCATCACGAGGACAAACAATACACAACTTCACCAGCTGTTCCACGTAGCCTCACACAGTCGCGCTTGTACAACAAACTCCAGCCCGACAAGCCTCACACCAGTGACATTCAAGATAACCCCGATATACAATACACATCACGAGCCTCTTTGATTGTGTTGCACCGCCTCGTCATGTCATGCCACCATAAATGCATGCGGGTACTTCCCAAGGAGTTGGTTTTGTTGCACATCATAATCTGCGGATCATTCCATGGTTTAGTCTTTAGTGGTACGAGCTCCGCATTTGGCTGTCTGTTGCATATCTTATATTTCGGGCATCTCGCTGAAGGCCCTGATAGGGACTAAGAGATGGCTGCAGGTCCAATTTGAGAAGGCGGGGTTTCAAAATGATGCGTTGGATGGGTCGGGTATGAGGTGCATGTTCAACGTGTTCATGCACTCACTTTAACGACGAGTCCCCGATATATCCTTACACACACATTCACCACCTGCCTTTTCAACCCTTATCTCAAACATTACCCCTCCTTTCATTGGCACTACTGCGTCATCATACATTCAAACTCTCCTCCTCAGCATAACCACGCATATTTTTCTACAACCCCATCTTTACTTCCACGTTTGTTGCACATCGAGTCTCACTTTCCGCGGAGCACTACATCAATGTCCCACATTTTAGTCGACCACAGTGCGACTCCCAATGCAACGTGGTATATTTTCTGCTCAAACTCCGGTCCCCATACGCTTTCATCACGCATATGAAGTCTTTTGTTGCATATCTCGATTCGCGGACTGCTCCGCGGTATACCCACCATCTATATGGCGTCTACTTCTCAGTTAAGTCATCATCATTGTACGACCCTTGGTGCTACCTCTGCTGCGGGGATACCTGCATCTCTAGTCCCACATTGTTTCACTGCATAGTGGTGACTTTGTTATTGTTGCATATCTTATTTTGCCGCAACAGCCTTTCTTTACTTTCTTTAATGTTCGTACAATATCTTGGTTGGAGATGCTCCACGTGTTGGTGAAGGTCGTGTCAGTTGTAATAACCTAGAATATGTGGTTGTACTTTATTGTGGGTAGAGAACCCACTTTGATGCAGTGTTAACCGGACGGGAAGAGTACGGTATGTGTTTGGGTCGTGATGCAGGAGTCCCGCTTTAGGTTGAATTTGTGATTCGCCCCACTACTACCCCTCATCACCTATTGGGATTGAAACCGGGGAAATTTTGACACGTGAAAGTTGATCACTGGCAGAAGGTACTGTAAGAAATATGCAGTCTAGATCTTTCGATTTACTAGGAGGGAGAGGTTCTCTTGGTTTGTGTAAATAGATTTTTACAGGTATATCTTATCCTCCGTCCCGAGTCAAGCGACCAAGGATGACATTCTTTTCCGGGTTTTTTAACCCCTATCGAGTTGCATTGCATACTCAATAGATGACTATCGTCGTCCACAAAGTTTAGATATGGTATATATTAGCCAGCAACGCAATTCCTTTCGGAGAATTTAATAAGTCAATGCCCGGAGAGTCAAACATCACAAATGGTAAGCAAGAAGCCGGCGTTCAATGTAACACGTCTCATCGACAAAGTTTCAGCGCTTCCGAATCAAGAAATGTAGAGACAGTGCAGCCGAGTAGCTTCGCATTACCGTTCGGCCTAAATCAACATCAGTGCCTCAGTGTGTACGGATGGAGAATATAGTTCGGGCGATCTCGTTAAGGGATGCAGGTACAGGTAGAACCTGGCTATAAGGGATAATTATTTATACAGAACGAATTTTTCGACCATATTATAGTGTTTTTAAGCTTATAAGGGATTGGATATGCAGGACTCCTCTTTATAGGGGATTCAATTGACCGAATTTTTCGGTCCCTTATAACCAGGTTCTACTGCACTATTTTTTCAGCTGAGACGCACTCAGTCTATTATTAAGATGACCGCATGTAACTAAAATAGGCCTTAGGTCCACAAGTGCGGCTTGTCCCTATACACTCGCCACTGGCAGGTTCAAGAACTCACGCCCAATTTCAGATGTGCAACAGAATATCCATGAGAACTTGTGTTTCTATTTGAGAGTGTAATTGAGCCAATCACATTCATCTTTCCAGAGAAAGCACTGGACTTGCAACTAGAGAGCCAATTGATAAAACTCGCGCCCAATTTTAGACATGCAACAAAACTTCCAAAGAGTTCATGTCTTTGTCTAAAGTACAGCCGGCAATTCACCAATCAGATGCCTGTCCCAAGGTATTTTGAGCTGAGGTCACCGGATCTCCAAAAAAGGAGAAAGCTCAGTACTTTAGACGAGCCACTGACGTTCGTAGAAAGATCCAGATCACATCAAATGGTATGTCTAGCAAGTTCAATAACTCGCGCCCAATTTCAGATGTGCAACGAAATCTCCAGAAACCTCAATTCTTTGTTCATAATAGGGCAATTCGCCAATCAAATGTGGCATTCGATTGAAGTCACTGGACCTGCAACAAAGGAGAGCGCTCGTGCTTTTGCCTTCTTTATTTTTAGGCGAGTGCCAGCCATAAGGTTACTGTAGAGTGGGTTCTAGATGAAATTAGCCCAGCATATCTGCAAGTTTATGAACTTGCGCTCAATTTCAGATGTGCAACAAAAGTTTTGAAACTCTAAGTTTTTTGTTGCGTTGAGCGCTAGATCCATAGTTCAGAAGATATTTGAAGCGTACGCTGGGAAAAAAGAGGAATTCTTCCTAACAAAGGATTTCAGCAAATCCTGATTCCAGTTGTAGGTTTGAGAAAATTGACTAATTGGGGTTTGATGCAGATGGTTCTAGATTACAATAGATCAAGATGCATCATGTAATGCGCCAACTGGAGGGGAGGAGGCGCTAAGTGACAGATGATTATTCGTGTCGATATGATTTATGGCTGATGGGAACAAGACCAGTCATACTAATAAATGCTAACTAAGAGGGAAAATTTGGCAGCGGATGGATTCCAGTTTTCTTTGCCGTGACCTCAAAAACACGAATAACTTCCCAGCATCTCTCCAGTGTTCATTATAACCTCTTGGAGTGATGAAAGATTACACAAAGATTCATACAACAATAGCAAAAGTCAACATGCTGAAGAGTTTAAGACGCTTGCCGCGAACACAGAAGGAAGAAGAGAACCCCTAATATATATCCACCTTAAAAAGATATCTCATGCTCAACTCCAACTACTAGGACTCTTCATCTCATAATACAGTAAGAAGACAGGAATGGTTCAAAGAACCCCACAACACAATATTTCACATTTCCAGCCTCTAATTAGTACATAATAGTTCTCACAGTAGGGAAATAACAACCAAGCATATGAAGTCTCACCTACATGCATGTCGTAGGGCGCAGGTCGGCAATGTGCGTAAAAGTCTAAATCCTATATAATATTCGGATTGTTCCCTGCCACATTAATCTTCTGGCAATCAAAATGACCGTCCTACTAACCATTACTGCTTCTACACCGACAGTAACACTTCAAATCAACTGCATCAGCAACGAAATAAACAAACGATGACGAAAATTGCAGCCTAGATTCAGAAAACGCCAGAGAAGGAATTTCTGATATCTGGCCAAAGACTCATCAACGAATATATTAAATATTCGAGGATATCAGCCAAATGAACCATCAATCCTTGATGTTGATGTTGCTATACTGATTCATTGATTTATTAACTAGGAATCGTTCGTTGGTGGTGAGGTTGAGGCGCATTATATACTTACTCTGCTACATCTAACCACACTTTCATTAATTAGATGATTTAGAAGAGACTTGGAGATTTAGTGAATTGCCTTCTGTAGGAAAGATTGTTCTTGAGTATATTCAAAGGTAAATGGAACAGCAACAATTTTTGGAAAAAATTCAATTAGAGCGCTTTCTCGGAAGTCAAGGTTCTTCGTGGATTTTTCAGTTGAATGTTTACTTAGGTAGCTTTTGCTGGTGGTATTCGTGTGAGGATCAGATCTCCCCAATAACTTTCCCAGAGTATTTAGGGACTGGAAGCTTGTTTTTACTGTTACTTTTGTATTATTATCATTTCGTGGGTAGTTTATTTCTCTCCTGTTGCTATAAATCTACTGCAATTGGATCCAATATCCGTTGCAACCGGACCCAACATCGTTCTCAGGTACAACGCCTGATAAATCGAGTTTAAAAAAATTCTCACTGTTCTTCATGGAAATATATATATATACGTAAAAATATATTATTCTCCAGACTTCCTACTTCAAATTCACTTGTCCTAGATCTCAACGAGTCCACAGACCACAGGCACCTTGTGGTCGAGCCAGCGCAACATGTTTGAGTTCTTTGAATTCCTGCCAAAACTGGTTCTTATTGACCAATATCAAACCAAAATAGATTGGATTGATCGGGGTGAATTTCATTTATCTTGTATAAAAGAAATCATATTCTGGCCTTCTAATTCAAACTACACAATTTACTCATTACAATTTCTTCATTACAGTATAATCAGTTTCGATATTTAGAAAATGATATTTATTTGAACTTGTTAGTTATGGAACTCGAAAACTAACCTGATAATAAATTTCTATCTCTTTACTCCGACTAGAAAGCTCGAGAGGAGTGGAAATGTCTAATTAATTGTTGTTACTATTTTCATATAATCATTTAATCAGAGATTTAACTACTTACTGTCAAATCTATGAGAATAATCCTCACTTCCAAAAATATAACATATTACCTACTACAATAAGAATCTCAAACTCCCTTCTAATTCTTTACTAAAGACAAACACCTCATTGCTTCTACAACTACATAAGCTTACTCCTAGTCATCTCAAAACCACACCCATTAGTCTCCCTTAATGGATCATTTAAACATTATTACCCCCCAAATTCACATAAGAACGTCTCCTTATATAGCATCCCCTGTCCTGCCCCTTAGAATTACACTGTGTGCCCTTCCACTCTGGTGACTAAGAAGTCATATCTAGCATTTTAACCATACCCCCTCGCCCCAAGGAGATCCATTCCTTATAAAGACTCTCAATTTCTGAGAAAGCCGAACCGTAAATCTCATACATGCGGCATGCCTTTAATTCAATTATAAAATGTCTCCTCGCTTGTTTGCATGCCTTCCTCTTCACCTAATTACTGAGAAAAAGTTGAAAGTGGAGTTTAAGTATATTAAGTATACTCTATCGCAGCGGGCTTTACTCTAAAACTAACAAGTCTTTTAGTTAGACAATAGGAACTATAAAACTAATACTACAGGTTTTAATTGATGAAGAAATCTTCGCTATCGATCTTTGAAATTGGACGACGAATCATGTCTTCTAACTTTTGATTAAATGAGATGAAATTCTGAATGAAATTTTGACAAGCAATATAAATCCTCCATTCGTTTATTAATTATTCACAACATAACAACAAAAACAGAGCGTGACACTCAATCCATTCCCCCCTTACAACTCCTTCTTTTCTACAGCAAATCCACAACTAATCCTCCCACAAAGAATACGTTCCAAATTTATCAAGCAATATCCACAAACCTCGAAGATCTCTTGCGTATGGACATCAAGAGATTTATTCTCCAAAACTATCTCGGAGGTAAGATCTTATCTTTTATAGTAGATAAAGTATGCCAAATACAGCGGAATTATCCTTTTGGAGATTCGGGAAGTTTTAAGTTGAAGAATGAATAACCAACCTATGAGTGAGACTTGATAAGACACCGTCACATGTTTATATCCTATTTCTGAATTTCAATTTCGATGTATAAAAGTCTCAGAAGGAGATACATAAAGATTTTTAATGAAAACTGAGGGAAATGCAGACTAGAAAAAGCAGGTATACTGCAATGTCGATTTTATTTTGATGAAGTAGAGATGGATGTAATATATGAAGTAGAGATAGATATACTATAGAAATAAACAACTGAAACAAATAACCCTCTATTCCTTCTACCTTTACATTAAAGATAAGTAAGTAAGTTCAACTTCTCCTCGTTAAAAGAATGATTAATTATAAAAGAGTTATTATTATCATCAGTTCTAATTATTATTAATACAAATCTTATATTTCCATTAGATTTCTATATAATACTGAAGATAATTATAATAATATTCAATAATATAAAGCTATATTCAAATTTTTTATTTTTTTATGTATTTTTCATAAAACAAATATAAAAATAAAAGTTTCTTTAAAAACCAAAATTTGAATTTAATATAATAAATACTCATTTTATATATATAAAACTTTAATTTATGAATATATTAATATATTATCAAGGTAATAAATATTATTATCTTTAATTATTTACAATATCAATAATTCTCAAAAGAAATTTAGTTTTTTTTATTTTCATATTGCTTTAATAATAATAAATAATTATTTTCACTTATTGATATTTTAATGTATATTTTTAAAATAATTATATTGATTGTTTTGAAAAATTAAATATTTTATATATATAATGTAATATCTTATTATAGTTTCTAGAACTTTTATAAAAGACAAAAATGTAAATATAAGATCTAAATTTTTAAATTCAAAGTATAATATTCGAGATATTTTTCTTTTTCTTTTCTTATTCATTCATTCATTATCCTTCTACTCCCCTTTCATTCTTCTCGATCCGGTTCCTATTCATATTCCTACTCCTATTCCCATTCCTCTCCATCTTAATCTTCATCTCCATCTCCATCCCACAAAACACACCACAAACTTCCCAAACTTCCCAAACTTCCATCCCACCCAGCCCATCCATCAAACAATCACATCATCAACAATCACATCAGTAACAACCGGAGCCCCAATAGAAAAAGCCCTTAATTTCTCCTCCACCCTTCTCAACACCTCAGGATCCGGTTCGGGGATAACTTTCCTAGGAAGAGCTATCTTACACATATCACAACGAATATGTTTACAACGACGACATTCTTGAGTCGGAGACACCAAATCCAAGGAGGATTCTAGAATAGGGAAAGTTTTATCACATTTATGACATGCGAATTTTTTGACCATGGAGGAAGGTTGATCACCTGGGTAACCATCGGGATATTTATTTTTCTTGGGTCTAATAAAGAAGGGGATGTTAGTTTGGGAGTTGTTAAGATATATCTCAAAGAAGAAAAAAAGGAAGGAAACTTACGGATTTCGAGGACAATCAGCACAACGAGTATGAGAACAAGATTGGCAAATTTTAGTTCCAGCTTGGAAAATAGAAGAACATTCATGACAAGTTCTTCTAATCCTTTGCATAGGTTTCTTTCTAACCAAAGGTTGACCACCAACTTTTTGACTCGGTAATGTCAAAATCAATTTCTCAGTTGGTATCCATTGTTTTTCCATATCAACCGGAATTGGTCCAATGGGTGCAATAGTCGTCTTCCCCTTTTCTTTCTTCTTCAAAGGATACCTAGGACACTTTGTACATCTTGGATGTTGACAATTTGCACAAATCTTATTGGCACCATATGTCGTATCACATCTATGACAAGTACGATGAATTCTCATTCGAATAGGTTTTTCGATTCTCCAAGCATCTTTTTCTCCAGCAAGTGTTTGCCATTCATGAGGTTCAATATTTAATTGAAATCGTTCACCTAATTTTCTCGCTCGTTCGGCATTGATTTCGGCTCGGGATACTTTGATAGGTTGAGGTGAACGAGGGCTAAGAGTAGCGGTAACCTTTTTGGTTTCGACGGCGGGAGCGGGTGTATCCTTTAATGGTTGTGCTTTTGGCGCTGGTGTAGATTTTGATGTTGATGTTGGTTTTGGTGTTGGTGTTGGTGTTGGTGTTGGTGTTGGTTTTAGTGTTGGTGCTGGTGTTGGTGCCGTAGTCTTGGAAGCACTAAAGAATTAAACTATTAATCAATGCGACCTCATAAAAGTATAATTCCTTTTCCTTACCTTGGTCCTGCTGTAGTTGAAGGCTTTGAAGTAAAAGATAATCTCTTTGATCCATCACTTCTTTTTAAAACCGTCTTCATCCTCCCTAAAACTCGACTTAATCCTTTCTTTTTCTCATTAACCGGGACTGCCGGTGTTCCTTGGGCTGAAGAACTCATTGTTGCGAGGATTCTTTCTAAGATCCTTCTTGTCGATCTGTTGAATTTATTATTGATTTATGGATTGATTGACTTATTCCTTGGGATCAAGTAATATTGAAAGAAATGTCAATGAAGAAATCGAGGGGCTGAAATGTCGAAAGCCTCCCATCAATTAATACTCCATCAATCGAATGATAGTTTAAATCATTTTTTTCCCCAAATTCTTCAAAAGTGGCGTCTTAATCTCCTTATAGAATCCCTTCTTACTTTTGTGTACAGTAGTATCACTCGGATTAAACTTCAATCGATCGTCCACCTCGTGCGCTCGGAACCAATGTACCGGTATACAGGGGAAAATGAGCGATAATTTATATGTTGTGTCTTTTTCCAAATTCTTTGGTAGGAATTGAAAGGTGGTATGAAGTAATTGAGTGGTAATAAATGTCTCGAATGATGGGATGACAAAGATGAGATGTAATAGGATGAGAATGAAAGAAGGAGTAGAAGGATGGAGGATGGTGCAGTGGTATAATGTGTATCGGGATAGGGAGAGTGATGGATGGGAGTGTGGTCTCGTCCCGCGTCTCTATGGATGGAATGAATTGATTGAAGAATTGGGTTCAGCTATTGAACCGCTATATGTCTGTAGTGCTGGGATATGGGGGAGGTTTTGGTGGAACCTTTTCAAGCCCTTTGAAACCCTTAAAATGCTGAGAAAAAAGCTTGGGATAGAAGATGTGGGATGAGATGCAATAATAATGGGAAGGAATGGGAATGGGAATGGGAATGAGAATTGGAATTGGAATTGAAATGAAATAATAATGGGACAAGACAAGACAAGACAAGACAAGACAAGATGGGATACAGCAGATGGGATCGCGTGGATTTTTTGGCGCTCAGACAATTGGTCGATTGAAGAAAGAAAGAGATGATGGGAATTAGCGAGCCAGCGAGGCAGCGTGCCAGATGGACGGGACAAAAATCCAAATGAATTCCCAAAGGTTAAATAATGTGGGGGGGTTTAAGGAGTTCCCGAAGAATAAAAATGCTTGGTATTTATTTATGTGGTATGGTGTGGTTGGGTGTGGATGGGTGTGGATGGGTGTGGTGGGTGTGGTGGGTGTGGTGGGTGTGGATGGTGTGGATGGGATGTATGTATGGATGGATGGGATGGTGTCGTACGAGATGATATGCTATGGCTTCTTGCTTGGTGTGAGTGGAGTTGGATGGAATTGCTGGAATTTTGTATGGGTAACTGTGGATATACGAGATACATATGTGATAAAGTACCGAGGGAGGAGTGAGTGAGTAAGTAAGTAAGAGATAAATGATCCAAATGAACGGTAAAGAATTATATATGATGAATAACAAATGAATAAATGTCAAGATGGTGAGGTAAGATTCGAGTATCGAGAGGGTAATTATAGGAATGTAAATGTGAATGTAAATGTGAATGTAAATATAAATGTAAATATAAATGTAAATATAAATGTAAATATAAATGTAAATATAAATGTACAGGAATATAAATATGAATATGAATATGAACATGTAAACGTGACGCTGATTGTGATGGTGAAAATAGCTGCTGGTTATCCAAGCTCCACAGACAGATGATACAGCATATGATATGTGAGTCCTCGTATCCCGCTCGCGCTCTCAATCTCTACCCTAAATCTCTTGGATTATCATTATCTCATAACAAAAGTTACACCAGCACATTTCCACCCAAAGATACCGCTGAAATCGAATAGACTTGACTCGAACCCTCGTGGACTCCACTTCCTACACTGAAGAAAGATTCCAATACGGACACGTATCTGGACAAGGAGGAGATGTGAAAAAGAGCTGATGTTCATCATGTACTTGTGATCATTTTAGGTCTGGTTTGAAGTTCCATGTGTACGGAGTATGCAGTTGTGAGGTGTAAAGTGATATCGTTCCATTCCTTTAATTTAGAGGATGGTGAAAAGGCGTGTTTTTGTTTTAGATGAAGGGGGGGTAAGAGGGTAAGAGGGTAAGAGGGTAAGAGGGTAAGATTGATTTGATGGGTGAAGAAGGGTGAATAGAGGAGTAAACCTTACTATTGGAACCTCGCAAAGAGATAGTGAGTGTTAGATTGTATGTACCTACTACCTACCTATCTATGTCCATTGTCCCTAGATAGTCTGGTAGAAGTGTATTCATCCGGGTTGTTGTATGGATCAGTATGGATCAGCACAGGAGGATACCAGGGTCCACCAGCCCAGGGTAACTTTCTTCACCATTCATAGATTTTGGGAAAGCCGGGATGGTGGCGCGTCTAGGGTCTTTCGGATTGGATCTCTCTGGGACTCCGGGTTGTTAGATAGAGTCCCATACGGAAGAGCTACTCAATATCCCTGAAAGGGCCCCGATTCCCCGGTATCTATGAATAACGGTAGATAAATACCGAATGGAGTCAAACATCCGTAAAAAAGCAAATGCACTCGCTCACTTACTTACCTGGTAATGAAAAGAGATGGTTTCCACATTCTCCAGTCCTAATGATGCATACCTCTGTAAAGAGTCGAGTTGCGAATGAGGGGATTTAACTTGATTTAATTGATATGCTGCAGTGACAGATGATAGATGATAGATGATAGGTATTCATCATCAGGGTTTAAACATCCGCAAACGAGATGTTTTTGCTATGGGCCAAGAATCAAGAACCATAGAAAGCTTCACACAATTGATCAGTTGCAGAAAACGTTGGCTAATGTGATGGAATTTCTTCTAGTTCCAATGGATAAATGATTCTTTTCTTGGCCATGACCACATCTTCCGATTTCTTGATATCTGATCATGTCGACCAACAACATGATATTCCCCCTTCATAATTGACATGACTGAGAGATATTGATCCCAATGGGATACCTACTCTGTCATTATTTCCTATTTTTATCTTTTCCTCCTCAAAACCAATTGAATCATCTTTTATTGAATAATTCTTCCCGATTCTCATCAATCCCAAACTCTCATCATCATCGACATTAATCATCAGAATCAAGGCGCGCGGTAAATGGTAATCGGAGGACCATTGCTCTATTTGATAGAAAATCATATGCAAAAGGCTAGGATTTCTTTAAGCTGCCCGTTGTATTTGGACGGAACGAATTCTAAATAGGTAAGGGCATGTCAAGGATAAATTGGAATGGATAAATTACCAGTATCTTTTTTAGGAATTGATCTATTCTTTATCAAGTTACCGACGGAGTAAATGTATTTGCATCTACTCGAGTACCGACTGACCCAAGAATTTCTTCAAATCCTGGTTGATGGGTAGAGTATGTTATGTATGTATGTATGTATGTATGTGAATTGGGAGGAGGAAGAGATCCGTAATAAGTTATAGACTCACAAAAGGTTAAATCTTACACATTCCGCTTAATTCATCTTTTAAACAATAAATGAATATCTTTTACAATTCCCTACGTACTCAGATCATCAAATCATCAAAATATCACAACCTCCACTTATCTATCGAAAAATAAAAAGCAATAAAAAATAAAAAATAATAACAAAAATTGATAGCCATCTATCTTCACATTACATCATTGACATCATCCAAAATCTAACCAAAACCCGGGAAACCATTAAAGTCTGAAAGACAATCCACGGATCCATCCATGCATACTTGTACCTACCTACCTAGCTAGGTACACACATACATTTCCCACGCAGGCAGGAATATCACTTACCCAATCACCACATCTTTGCATACATACATACATACATACATACATACATACATACATACATACATACATACAGATATACCTAAATAGGTACGACACGATAATCCCACACACCACCCATAAAACTAGCTAGTCTCGCCCCACAATATCCAACATCCAACATCCAACATCCAACCCCATCCAGCATGCATGCGCAAGCACCCAACCCAACCCATCCAACGGTAAAAGCAAAAGCAAAATCCCTCCCCTTCTTCTTCTTCAACTTTTTCCTCGGGTGCGTGCAAAAGTGGAGCGAGAGCGAGCCTTGCTTTGGGGAGGTTTTGAGGAGATCAAAGAGATCAAATCAGCGCTTGTTTTAGTGGGTGATGTTTTGATGTTTATCAGGGGGAAGGAAGGAAGAAAGAAAGGGGAGGGTTACCAATTTCCTAATGGATGTAAGTTTTGTTAATTTTGTTATTTTATTGGTTTGTTTGTCAGCTTTGGTTTTGTCATTGATTGATTCTTCTTTTGGTTTTGTGTTACGATCACAGATCTTATAATAACTGCTCTTATGCTTATAAGATATGATTTAATCAATTTAGTATAGGATTAAGATGATATAAAGATCTAATAAGTATAAGAGTTATTATTATTGGATTTATCATAATAATAATAAAATTATATAATTAAATGATTATATAATATTATATCTATTAATCCTATTGATTTAAATTAATAAAAGTAATAGAAAAGAATTTTTATCGATCTTATTAATTTTATTCAATAAAAAATTAAAATATAAAATACAAAAAATTATATAATTAGAAAAGGATTTCTTTTATAAAGTTTTGTATTTAAAATTAATCATTTAGTATATTTTATTATTAGTTATAAATTATAATTATTGATATTATCTTAAGTCTTTATTTGATATTTAGTTATAAATTATTCAAGAATCTAGGCCACTTCTATGTGATCTAGATCGCATCCCTTGTAACATTTTGATGTTTTGGTTTATAGAGTTGGATTTTTGAAGAGCTATTTTGGTTCTTGAGTGCTTGATTCTAACTAGATAATTATCCTTTTAAATGTCAAAAATGCCTGTGTTAGTGATCCGTGTAATATACCTTGATGATAAGCTCTGATTGATCAAAGGATCTCTCAGAACTTTTTAAAGATTTTGTTTTTGAAATTCTATTATCATTTTAAAATTTTGAATATTTTAAAATAATAAAAAATGAAATAAAATAAAAATTGATTCAGAATGATATTGATCAAATTTGAAAATTATATTAATATTGATTTGATTTTATATTATTAAATAAATATAAATATCTCTTCAAATATTAAGAATTCTAATAATCTCATTGATCAGTATAATTCTTGTTAAATGAATGCAGGCATTTTTGATATTTTAAAAAATAAAAAAATTATTTTTAAACTTGATTAAGTTAAGTAAATAGATATATATTTATATTTTGAATTTAAGATATTTTTTATATAATTAATATATTATATCTAGTATTATTTATTTAATTAAATAAAACTTATTATATTTTTATTTTATGAATTTTATAATCAATAAAAAGTTTTTTTAATAAATTTTTATAAAGAAAAAAGAATAAAATTAATTAATATATAACTATATAATAATTTATTATTATTTATTAATTAATTTTATTTTTTATATATAAATATATTATTTTGTATAATTCATTTCGATCTATTTTTTCTTTTATATAAAGATTCAATATTTCTTCGTTCAAGAGAAAGTCAGTGAATCGGCGTTTGTAAACGCCGATGAGCATATCCTACATGCGCACAATACACCTATTTAAAAATCAACTTCAAAAGTTGAAATGTACGATGATGATGTAACTAATCATTAAGCCCTATCATAATATTTACTTAGGTAATAACTATCCATACCGATGACATCTCTCTATCACATACCTAGACAACTCAACATTTAAACTTTTCCCCCAAACTCTAATTTTTAACGGCGGTGGGATATCGATGGATCAATAGTTTCGTTTCTATTTAGTTACTTCAACTTGCTTGGTTTATCTTTCCTCGGCCCGCTCCTTTAGCACTAAACTTATTCTCTGCATGGATTAATATCTTGTGCATCTATCTATCCATGGTATAAATTCGAATTCAAAAGTTCATACATACATATGTATATTTCCGGAATTCCCGGTTATTTGCTTTTGTTCTTCTTCTTTTTCTGATTCTGGCTTCAAGCAAATAAACAAGCGATCATGTATGTTACATACATATGTATCATGCATGTATGCATGCATACAAAAAGTGTTGAAGAAGTGCTGAAGAAATGTTAGAAAGAGAGGCGGAGACAGGGCTGGATCTAGATGATTCGATTCGGTTAATTCCCTATTTCGTGGATAGATTGTTGTACGGAGTATTTTGTCTTGCAGATAAAAGAGGTAAGAGAGGTAAGAGAGGTGAGAGGTGAGAGGTGAGACATCCTTGCGTGGCTTTTTGAATAGGTAATATTTATTCTTTTTGCTGGAAACTGTTTGGGATGCGTTACCTAGATAGAACTTAGAACCTCCGTAATGAGAATACCCACTGTGTGAATAGATCCAATTCGGTTTGCGTCTTACCTGACACTGACAGGACGTCGAATTTCGGACTTGGAATTTCGGAGATCCCACTGATCGAAATGCTCTTTCGGAATTCAAGGATTTCCTTCCCCTTCCATTCTTTCTCAAAAGATCATGTCGGGTTGGGTTAAATTGTGTTTTGATCGGTATACGGAGTTTACGATAGTTTGCGTTGGATTGATGGTTCATATATGGGTTTCTAGTTTCTACTCGGCATCTACTCCGTAGATGGTTAATTAGTTGTCGAGATCTAGGTTGGCCAATGCGTAATCCCAGCTCCAGGGATAATGTGCGGAATTGGGATGGGGGTGAGGGGGGTCTTCGTCCGGTGGGATGGGATGGGATGGATGGATGGATGGAATCAAAGGTTTGGTGAAGATTGGAATCTATCTATCTCCTACCTACTACTAACTACGAATAATCTTACAAGGCCGAGATGAAATATAGAAACAGATATCCAATCTACAATAAACTTACTTACTCATTATCTCAATCATATTCACATCCAACATCCCATTTTATACATAAACGATGCAGGATACAAAATAATTCATCTTCATCCCTCCTACTTCCTAGTCCTCCACCGAAAATCTCACCCATACCTACTACCCAAGTACCCAGGTACCTCGATACATACAGAGCACGTCCCTAGATTCGACAATTCAGAAAACGGCACAACCGATTTTTCAATCCTTGTTTAACTTTCCTTCTTCTTGCCGCTTTCCTTAAGGTTTCCTTCCCATGCCTTTGTTGTTTTACCCTATCCTTGTTTGAGTTTGAGAGTTTGTAGGGTCTTCTTTTCATCACTTCATGTCATGTCATGCCATATCACCTCGGTGTGTTGGTGTCGGTGTCGGTGTTACATATTTCTACATTCTCTGCCACGTACGGAGGTAAAAGTATCAAATCTCGCATCGAACGTTCATTGTCGTATGTTCTTAAATAGATAGTTATTCCGAATTCACTAATATTAAGGTAGATATACTAGGTAGTATGATAATAGTATGGTATAGTCTCCACTGACTAAACACCTAGGATAATAGCAATTGCTTGGTTGTGAATGGATGATGTACGAGCTTGAGAGGGAAGCTCAGAAGAGAGAATGCAGGGATGAGATTCATGAGCTATGGCCTACTTGTGATAGATACGTTGTACTCGAGTTGTAATTGCTGGTTGTGTGTATAAGCATGTGTATTTGAGAAGTATAGATGATTTAGAAGATTGGGTTTTTGATTAGAGGATGAATGAATGGAGATCATTAATGATTTGGGCTTAAAATCTCAGACTTTATGTTTCTCGACTAATCACCAGATTAAGTAGACTATATTTTCTATGATTATATCCATACATTATCTATCATTATACGATCGCTCTATACAAAGGATATAGATAAACTTTTTCAAATACATCTCTAACCCCTCAGCTAAATAAAAGAAACTCTAACCGAACACCTTTCACACTTCCAAGCAACTTCAGCACACCCCACACACGCCACCACCCGCCAAAATTCCCAAAGAATCTATCCGCTACTGAGAAAAATAAACAAATATGGCTTGAATCTAAGACATGGGGTCTTTGGGACTTTGGGATATGACGCTATTCTGTTGCTGTTTATGTAATAGAGATTTGCGGAATTGTTGGTAGCCGCAGGTTAAATAGATGAAGTTTTGCGTTTTGGGAATTGGATTTGTGATTTGGCTTGGGGGAATGGAATGGATGGTATATAAAGTCAGTAGGTTATAATATAGTATTGATGCTCGTTTTATTACAATCCCAAACGACAGGTATAAAAGTATAAGAAAGAGAAAGAGAAAGGAAGAAAAGCACACATCGAAGATCTCTTTAATATAATAAATCGTAATAAATTGCATTCGACTCAAGATATGAAACAAAATAATATATTAACCTTACTATAAGAAAGAAATACGAGCCGTCTGCGTGTCTATTACAACCTATATCAATCAGCCCCGACTAGGTGAGACATGAGACGGGAATTATACTTGGGATTTACAACAAAACGGAATGAGGAATGAAACCGGGTACCTGGATCTAGGCTGATCGGTAAGCAAGATCTTCTCTTTGCTTATTTTGTTACGATGATTTGCCTTTATGGTTATTGTAATGTGTATGGGGAGTAAGTATTGATGGATGCTGGCTCGGTGTCTGATTTCATATACATATACATATACATATGCATATATATATATATAGGTTTTTGGCTACGGATCGTGGAATTAGACATTTTTTGTGAGATATTTTCAAGGTGGAGAATGAGGGGTAGAGCTGTCGGGGTGTTGAGGATGGATATCTACTAGTTATCATTGATCGGGAGATTGATAGGCCATTGTTTAAGTATGATAAATATGCCTCTTCTGTGGATTTCGAATCGCCCATGATTGATGTGTTTAGTAATTGTGCTTTCATGGGATTCCAGTCAAGTTTCGTAGAGAGTGAGGAGCTGGTACTCGGGTTATGTGATGATGGAAAGATATTATGGACCCATAGGCTAGGGTGGCGTGAGTTCGCGTTTATAAAACAGCTGGACAGAGTCTGAAAGGAAAAGTTCTCGGATAGTACATTTGTTTTTATATCTTTATAATTTGTAGCTGGATTTTTTAAAGTTGTTTTCGAAAGGCAGGACTCAGTCTAGTGATCTCACGAGTGAATATTCGCAGGTGCTAGGTGTTACGAAGGATGCAATCTAGATCACGTAGAAGTGGCCTGGATCCTCGAATGGTTTATAACTAGATGTTAAGTAGAGGTTTAAAATAATATCAACGATTACAATTTGTAATTAATAATAGAGTATACTAAATGATTAATTTTGAGTATGAAACTCTACAAAAGAAATCTTTTCTGATTATATAAATCTTTGAATTTAATAATTATAAGACTTTCAAACCTTCAATATTTTTTTAAAATATAAAAACCTTCAAATCTTCAATGCTCTTTTGAAATATAAAAGTCTTTGAATTTTAAATACTTTACTATATAATCCTGTAATTATTATAGATTCAAATTTAATAATATTTGTATATATTTATTTCTTATATTATCTTAATTTTATATTAATTTATTTAAATTGTATTTTATAAATATATAATTGATTAATATAAAATCTGTGATTGTAATACTAGATTGCTTCGATCTGTCTACTTTGATAATTAATAATATAAATTAAATTTGATTATATATCTTAAGTTTTTTTTAAATAAAATATTATATATTTGTCTTTTCAATGATATTAATTATTATTAGTATAATATATAATTATTAAAAATAATTGAAAATTAAATATATATATATAATAATATTATATAAATAATATCACTAAAGTGATTTATTAATTATATTAAAGAATTAAATTATATATTTTGAATAATTTAAATAAAAATAAAATAGATTTTATATTTTATTAAGATTTTATATAAGATTTATTAATTATTAAATTTTAAATATATTATTAATATTGTAATTTCTAATTTATTATTATTTATAAGTATTAAATAAATTAACTTTATTTTATTTATAAATCTCAAATTTATTTTTTATATTATTTAAAATCATATTCATTAAATAATATAATTAAAAATAATATTTTGAAATTACTATCAGTAAAAGAAGATTTATAATATCTTTAAAAGAATATTATCTTTTATTAATATTTTATTTATATTTAATTAATTATTCTTTATAATAGTAACTTTTAAAAAGGTTTCAATATAATTAAATTCATTATATAAAATAATTTTTATTTAAAATAATAATATAATTGATTAAGTAATATATTGAATTGTTATTATTTCTCTTTCAAGTATAAATAACAAATACTCTATTGTTTTTCTATAATCACTGACCTTGAATTGGTGGAGAATATGAGGAGGAATATGTAAGAATTCTATGATACAGGAAGTGAGGGTGTACAAGGTCCAATGTGTGATTTTTGTGTATATATGTCGTCTCCTACATAATACATTAATTGTCAAGGAGTAGAAATTTGTGACTAATGAGGGTCTTAAGACATAGGCTATACGACTTCTATCGATAGCTCATCTAATGATTGATTACCCAATCATATTTTCACTATATTAGACTTTTCCTTTTGCTATCGTTTATCATGTATTTTTATCGGTGGTAAGATGATAAAATATGATTATCACCTGGTGCCGTGACAGCAATAACTACAATATCATACACAGACTCGGTATCTGCTTACCATTCTACGAATGCTCTGCTCTGCGTTACTTCTAATATTCGTATATATAGAGTAAATATTTGGTAATGCTTTTCCTCGAGTGAAGATTAGGTAGTGCTTTTCCTCTTAGCAGATCTACTAGTAAAACTGGCACAACTATTTATATCACTAAATTTATTCCGCGTCCGAAGTCTGCAGGGGAAAGTGGTGAATATTGAGCCGAAGAAGTTGGTCAAATGATCTGGTACTTTTCTCGGAAAGAAGGGCGATCAATATCTGATTGCTATTACCTGTCTACAGATATTTATTAGCTTGGAGTAAGGCGTCTGGCAAGTGTATATACACGCATATATAACCTTGATTGGTTCACAACTGGGCGAATATATCTAGCATGATTGTCCAGCACTTGAAGACTGTGGCTACTTCTTCACCATAATATCTTCATTGCTACTACTAGTAATCTGAAGTTTTATCACCACGCTCCTTACTGTTGTTGAAAACTTCCCAACATCAATTTATTGAGATAATGAGAATTCAAGAATTGTTATCAAATCATCACCACACACCTGGAAGTTAAGGGCCCCTAGGCCCAACAGATTACATTGCCGTTCCACACCATATCATGTATTTCCCTGTTGGCTAACATAGGATCACATCTCAACCTAATACACTTCGAGAGCTTTTATGCAACTAGTTTTTATTCCGGCTTGGGCCAGCCAGCTATGAGACAAGTGAGCCGCGTGAGTAATATAATACACTCTGGTGGGGCTGGAGCATCTAATGAACTATACAAGGAAAATTGCTCTATCTCCTTACTAAGATCCTCTTTCATCTATATATATAGCTCATCATACCGCACGCTTCTACTATTAACCAAGTCAGACTCGGAAATGAAATTTTGAGGGAGCTTCGGGTCGTTGACATCAATTATTTATAGATGTCCATAATATAACTAGATATTTGAAACTGATTTACCTCAGCCTCGTCTAGAAAACTTTCTCGCAGGCCCGGAATGTTTACTTATTTCATTTGTGGAAATTCATACTGTCGTTCTACTTAGCTATTTGATGTCTATGTTTACCCGACCATTGTCACAGAATCTTGATTCATGTTCTAAAACAGGACGAATGAAGTTCATGAGTTCAAGGATTTGATTCTTACCAGATAAGAATAAGGATGCCTTTTCTGTGAGCTTTCAAAAAATAAAATTCGAAAGCTAAACTGTCCTCTACAGCCTCGTAACTATGGTGCTCTTCTTCTACTGCTAGCGACTGGTAGCAGACTATAATTATAGCTTTTGTCTAGGCTATCTTGACATGATATTCTCAGTAAATTTGTTTACTGAGTGAAATTCAGTTTGCACAATCCAAAATGCGGATATGTGTAGTATTCACAGTTTCGAAAAAATGAATCTTATACTTCTGATTTAGTATTTATAATTCCGACACTATAATCAAACATTGTGATATGTTGTTAGAATCGATCTCATAGATGGTCTTGAGAACTTTATATATATTCGTTACAGAAAAGGAAGCTGTAAACGAATGATAAAATGAAATAAAGATTTATTTAATTAATAAAATTATTTCTTTTTAATAATAGATCTTTTTTAAGAAATATATATATTTTG